TACATTTAGCTTTGTGTTGTATAGTTGTTGTGTGTTACGTTGATTTCCTCTATTGGCCATAGTTGGGTTTTTGAATCATTGATGCCTTTGTTCGGATTGTAATTGGGCAGCCTGCATCAAATGCATTGTGATCTGTTCTGAGTTTATAGCCGCCTTCTTCAGATTTATTCTCTATTTTGCAATTTATTCAGCAGGGTGGTCTATCTAGTCAGTTGCAGTGTGCATATTTATACTGCTTTGCACAGTGACTGCATGTGAGATATTCTATATAGTTTTTGGTGTAATGGCTATATCCGCAGCAGTTATAACATCTTATTAGGGAAATGTAGTTATCGGCCTTTACATTGGCCCATGACAATGTAAAGGCCAATGTAGGTGTTTCAGACCTACATCGGCCTTTACATTGCAGATCTACAATTGCTCTTCTGTTGTTTGGGGTGACTATAATGACCATGTGCCTACAATTTTCTTTCATCTGGCCTCTATTCAAAACAGTGCTGACTCAACACACACAGACAGAAATTCTTGTTTGTAAAGTACTTGCAGTTCTTTGATTTGTTCATATATATATAGGGGAGAATATCTTCATTTTCAACTGCATTTGTCACATTTAACAGAATAACTCTGGTGAATATGGCCTTGAGCATCTTATTTTGTCTTTAGCATGTGCAATATATTTGATGGCATTTATAAGGTCCCCTGTTTCTGATTCCCAACCTGGATTCAAAATCCATCATTTCTCACGTCCTTTATTGCCCTTATGCTAATTCAGGGTTTTTGAGGCTCAATTGTATTTAGAATTGTCTTTAACTTTTTTGATATCCATTTTGCTTTGGGGTCCACATTTTCTTTTGTGTAAATCAGAACAGTATGGCTGCCAACAGTACCCTCTCTTTGCAGTTTTCTGTTTAATGACTTACCAACCACTGTCGTAGTTTAGCTTGGTTGAATTGGTCTGTTACTTTTTGTAATAGTGGCATAGATTGGTTGGATCCACTGTCCATTGCTAAATACTAGTGGGGGGCTGGGTTTTGTTCTGAGTTCCCTAAGGATTCCATATATTTGACTGACACAGCTATGTAGCTGTGAAACACTTTCCCAGATCTTCTTATACTTCTCTATCTTTAAATTTGACCGGTAAGTTTCTGGTACCAAGTCAAGTATTTTCCATAGGTGGGAACTTGCCTCTTTCAGTATTGTGTTCTCTACTGGCCCAAGAACAAAAGCTAGGCCACTTTGTGAATCTTGTGTGTTGTTAAGTTTAGCTTTAGATTGTACATTGTTCGACTCCATTATTCAAGAATAGGTAGTAAGCCACATACAATTAGCATCAAAGCAATCACTTGAATAGACGAATGTACTAACAGGTTCATCAATATTCTGACAATTCATGCATAAGTACACAAAATTTATTTTATATATATAGTTAACTGAACTAAAAAAAATCGTTTTATTTAAATTTGTATGTGTTCTTATCTGTCTGGAACATTTGCATGAAGACGACGGAAATACATTCGTCGAAAGTGCTCGAAAGAAAAACGCTTAATAACGCCACATATAGTGAGTTTTACTACTTATTAATATCACTTGGTGTGAATAACTAGTCTATTGTAAGTTCTTATTGTCATAACTGGTCATTTACAAGGGCAGTCCTAAAAGTACCGTACTTTGCCTCCCTATATATTAGTGTTGTCAATTCAAGTTGATTGACTTGAATGCATTAATACAGTGTCTTGTAACTTGAAAATATTTAATGAAACAATTTGGTGAAAAAACTTGCTACTGTGTTTAAAAGTATTTTGTTTGATTTTTCATGTTCTGCATTTTAATTTTCTGGCTTGTTACATATATAACATGGGAAAATATTGGAATCGTATCACATTTGATCCTCTGGGTTATTTTGCAATTCCCCACATTTTGGACCTGAACCAAAAAAAAGTCAAAAAAACAAAAAAAAATTCTGTGGATGTGTGTACACATTGGTGTATATTTCATTTAATATCTCAGGATGGGTAAAGAGTAAGAAATGAAATTTAACATAGTAACTTGTATATAAGAGGCATTGATGCTGTTAAATCTTGATGGTTAAAGGTTGAGGTGGTTGGGAGATAGAAGGTGATCACATATCATATCTCAAGTAGAGTTGGATTTAATGAAGATTTTATATTTAGCATTTTACAGTTTTTTATAAAACTCATCTGTATTTTCAAAATTAAACTTTTTGCCATTTTAGAATATAAAATTTATTTTTTAAACAAAATCTCATAACAGATGGCACCACAGACAATTTTAATTTTGTGCTAACATTCCTGTTTTTTGCTGAGAAAGTTATGCAACTTGTTGCTGGATTTTTGAGAATACAAATAATAAATTTAAAAAGATTTGGTGATAGACAGTGATAGGATATTTGTATATTCAGTGATTAGACTTAGACTAATATCAAGACTGCTGACAATGAGTTTCATCAATAAACTTTTGCAACAGAAGTATATCTTGGATAAGATAAGTATATTTCAGGACAATTTTAGACCTTAAAAAATAGAATAGATCATCTGCTGTACTTGTCATGATTAATGGTTTAATTTTAAAATGGTGGAATGCAAATTTGCTAACCTGGATTTAAAATAGCTGTTAATTCTGTAATTTGTCTAACCATCTATTGGTGAAATAGATTCAAAGGTTTTCAGAAAATGACTTGAGAATTTTGAAAAATACTTGAGAGTATTTATAGCAAACTTGAAAGCAAGATTGCTATAAATAGCTTTATTGTGTGTGTGTGTGTGTGTGTTAAAATTATGCTAGACAAGTCATTTTTTTGGATTAAAGATTGGATGATAGTTTGAAAGAGCATAATCCAGTGGCTGGGGAGAGTTGTAATAGTTTTAACATTTGTGAAGAATAGTCACAGCAGTTATTGATGGATGGCTTAGAGCGGGGATTGGCAACCCGCAGTCCACTTCGCCTAAAATATGAATAAATATATTAATTTCCCAGCTTAAGGGAGTGTGCAGCAAAAATTCAAACCAAAATGTTTTAAAATGTGAATAGTTCTTTGCAATGAATTTAGTAAAAATTAAAACAAGAAACTGGCTAACAGACACGTCGAAACTAATTTAAAACTAGCAGTGACTAATGTTTAATCAAATATCTCCAATATATTATATTTACATCAATTCCAGAAGCTAAATTAAGTATACATATGCTAATTTATAATTATATATGAATAAATAATTGTGATTTATCTGCATTTTTTTCTCTTTTCTTTTGTATCGGTCTGTGTCAGTTCAAAAGTTTTAAAATGCTGCCTTTACATAGAAAAAGGTTGCCCATCTCTGGCTTAGATCTTCATTATAGTGAAAAAATATTTTGAACAATTTTCCCTAGTATTCAGTATTCAAAATCAAAGTTTTCTTAGATTATCGTAGTATTGTCCAATGATGATTTGATCCTTTACAAGATAATCTTCTACCACCAGCTCTTCTACATTCCAAAAAAAATGTTGCCATCACCTTTTCACTGGAAATGAGTTTTTGCTTTCTTTGGTCTGGATGAATCAAAATATTTTCATTGTTCAACTGCATTAACTTTGGAAAAGTGGTGGATCAAAGTTTCATCTACTTTTACAAGTCATTGCAGTGTCTTCTGGATTGACTTCAAATAGTGAAAAAATTGTCAAATATCAGAAGTTGTAATCCAATGGGTAGAAACTTTCTTCATTGTCAATTTTTTGTTAGAATACAATTAACTGTTGTTTTCAACATGTCCAGTGTCTCTGTAATCTGCTTAGCTGTTGAATCTTTCAGTAATGTTTCATAAAGCTTTTCCATTTCTTTTATTGCTCAGGGAGGCAGCATCAAATGGCCTGCTTGAGCACTTGTCAACTTCACAATTTTTCTGTATTTGAATTATTCTACTTGCCTCTTTACAACCTTTGCATGAAGAAACTTTTTGTTTTCTAGGTTGCTAGTAGCTTCAGTCTTTTTTCAGATACTTTATAAAATTTATGAGCTTAAAAATTAAAATGATTTCCAGTTACTTTAATTTTTAAATTACTGATTTTTAGATCAGTAATAAAATGTTTGAAATGCAAAATAAAAATATATTTCAAACATATCGTAACTTTGGAAGAAAACCGACATAACTCAAAAAAGTGCGGTTTTTCGATTATGTCATAATCAAAACGAAAATGTAGTAAATTTTTATGTGGAAGAGTGTCACAAAAGTAACTTGCGTATTTGGCCACTAGGGAGCAGTTACGTGGGAGATAAGTGATATTCAGTTAAACTTTAAATCTTTGCATGGGATTTTCTCAAAACTGATTATTTTGAGTTGTGCCAGTTTTCTTCCAAAGTAGCGATATGTCCTTTAAAATGTATAAAAACCAAAATCTTTACAATCTAGCATTTAATTGTTAGAAAAAACAAACGTTTTCAGCTAATTTAACTAGCTTTTTTTAAAAACAAAAAAAGAAAAGAATTGGTGAATTGTAAAGGTTTCTGGTTTTTTGTATTTAAAGTATCTAGTTTATTGCATTTCTTTTTTTAATATTCATGTTAGGTGTTAATAGTTTTCTGTTTACAATTACATATATAAATACACTCTCACCAAAAACTGGAACTGTAATATTCACAAATTGCACCTAAATTCAAAATTTCCAGCAAATAAACATCAAAAAATACATGTCGAACGTTTTCGGTCACTGAATTTATCGGCCTTCATCAGGAAATGCCTTCATATTGATTTTTTCCTAAATTTATATCATAAAATTATGTTTTGTATTCTGTTTTATAGTTTGTGCTAATTTATTTAAAAGTTCTTCTCTATATTAATTAGAAAATGTAATCAAAATTATTGGAATTCAAAATCATATTTTAAATTGATCTTAATTATTTTATTATAATTTCTGTTTATATATATATATATATAGTAAGAATATTATTTTGCATAAGGAAGTATGTATTTCTTAATGACAACTAGTAAATTCTTTTTTACACTTTTAGAAGATGGAAGTCAAAGTGAACATACGGAAGAAATGGAAAGCAGACCATCCTCAAGAAGTTCAGGAAGAAGTCGAAGTACACCTCCTCTTCCAATGTATCAGTACACTAAGGTAAACTTAGGTTTTATAAATATGCAATTTTTTTTTAAATATAAGAAAAATAATAGAAAACAAATATAGTTTGTAATATAAACACTATCTTAAAAATGTGTGGTCAGTGTTTGCAAGAAAAAAAACTGAATGCTTATTCCTACCCCTTTACAGATAATTAAGGAGTATTTTCTAGAATTGAGGTGTAATACATAATTTAAGGTTAGTTAATGCTTTTAATTCACTCAAAAACTATTTTTGAATGAAAACACACAATATTTGTAAATATTAGAAAATATAGTAAAATATCCCTATTTTTAACAAAATGGAAAAACCTAATCTGCATAGTGTATAATTAAATATCAAATAAAAACATTTTCTTCAAATAGAAATTATTTAATATCCTGGTAATTAATTATAAGTTACTTTTATAACTTTCAGATGTGGGTGTTTTGGTATTTTTTTTTTACCACTCTTTTGCTCAGTTTTGTTGTTCCTAAAATGAACCTGTGCTGATTTTTGTCTTTTATTTTGAGAAATGAACCAAAGAAAGTCAATATAAACACAAATAGACTATCTATAGACTGTGACAGTAACTGCCAACTTCAGTGTGGAAGTAGGTAACTTCAGATAAAAAAAACAATCAAATTTGATACCTTTCTCCAATATTAAAATCTACATGCATTTTTTCATTTCTTTAGCATAATTATTTTTTAGAGGAAAACCTCTTGGCAAATTTGTGTGTTTTCTTAGTTTCTGTAAATATTTTTGACCTATTCATATTTCTGGGTTCCTCCTTACTGGAAAATGACAGGGAATTTTGTAAAAGTCAGGGAAACTTACATTTAGTGTAAAGTTGGGGATTCATTAATTTTTTGGAAATTTACAAATACTAGATTTGTAATTTGAAACAAAGAAATCTTTAAAGCTAAAAATGCTTTGTCGTTTTTTTTCTAATGTTACTTGCAAGCACTTACAATATAACCTTAGCCAATGATGATGATTTATGAAAGTGTGGAATGTGAAAGTGAAACTTAATTAATTTAATGGGCATATATAGCTTTTGTTAGATTATATTGATAGTTTTTCCAAAAGTTTTAATTTACAACATATCAAAATACATAGATTATTCAGTTTAGAATATAATGTCAAGTATACTGACTGATAGTTCCCAAATAATAATAATTTGTTTCTCTAACTATGTATGTACTTACCTTAACATTTCAAATATTATTAAAATTATATATGCAATTTAAATACTTTAAACAAGGTAATAATATACCTTTTATAACATGTTTTGATTAGTCATTATATATGAGAAATTTAATATGGAATGGCAAAATTCTTTTTAAATGCTAATTTGATCATTTTTCAGTTTTTCTTTATATGGGGTGTATACTTCTGAAATATTTTTTTTTTGAAGGTTGCAAATTTCATAAATATCAGTCTTAATATATCAGTTTATATTCTTTTCAGACCAAATTTAACAACTTGGCGACAACTAAATATTTCTTTCAATCAGTTTATTTTTATTGATTTTTTTATGTCTATTTTTGTTTTATGTTTTTGTTCCCATTTATTGGACATTTATCATTGAGCAGATTGTCCTTATTGGCTATGTGAATTGTGATGGCTATCAAGTGAATGTCTCAAACTTGATGCAGTTATCCAAGCTGATAACATTCATTGTAAGAATATTGGATCTGTGAAGTACCCATTTTGCAAATACAAGAATTGTTAGAAATTTAATCTGACAATTTCATTATTTATAAATAATAATTATAAGATTAGTCCTTTTTTTTCATTATTTTTTTTTTTCCTCTATGAGCACTAAGAAAACTTTTCCAGCCCATCATATATCTAGCCAAGATTACAGTGGGGCAGCCAAGTAATGAGGGAACACACCTGTAGCTAGAGGACAGCCAGGAGGGCTTAGCCACACCTGCCCATTATTCCAAATGATGAAATGCAGTTTGAGTGTTTATATTTTTTCTATCTAAATATATAATTTTTAACACTTAACTTTTGAATATTTTTGTATTGTTTTGTACATACATTATTTAATAGTATTCTATTATATTTCAAAAATTTTTTACAGGCTGGTTTTTCAGACACTCTTTCTCTGGGATACTCTCTAATCCCCCACAATTTGCTAGAGCCATTTCTACTATAGTTGGTCTAGTTACACACTTGTAAGGAACAGGGCCCAATATATTCAGGATAGGCCACCCATAAAAAATTCTTGGGGCTTTCCACTTGGATTCAATCTTAGGGAATCAAAGATGTTTTCTGCAGAGTTGCAAGCTAACATCTTTACTACCTTATCTTTACCTACTACTGGTCATTTAGCCAACAAAGGTATTCATTAAAGAGTAGGTTTGAAGAGAGAGAAATATTTTTTATTAATAAACAATCAATTTAATGGCTTATTGTTAAGCTGACACATCTAAATATATGAAAACACTAATAACACTCAAATTGAAATTACTATCATAATAAGAATGAAAAAAATACAATTTAATGGTATGATTCATTCTTTTACTTTTGTTTTCATTTGAGTAGTTCATTGCCATCCTCACTGAAATGAAGTGTGTGAAAGTTGATTGAGACAGTAATACAATTTATAAATTTATAACAATAGTTTTTAAAAAACTATTGTTATAAATTTATAAATTTTATGTTCTAAAAGTAATCATTTTAGTTTTAAAAATAATAAAATACTTCATTTTAAATGTAGACTTGTTTTTTGACTTGTATGTACTTTCAAGATTGAATACTATCTAATTTACTATATCTTTATTTACATAAACATTATAAATTAGTTTGAGTCTATTGTTGTAAATGAAGGCTATAAATCATGTGATCTTATTGACAAAACTGTTTTTATGATGGATCATTAATGTCAGAGGCACAGATATTTTATCTGAATATCTGATAATTGAGGAGGTATGGCTTGGATGTCTTCTAGGAAATGCTGAATGATTTATCTGATTGTCAGTGTAAGATTTGTTGATAAAGACAATGTTATGAGTAGCAATAAAAGAAAATTTTTAGTTGCAATAGTAGCAAATGAATTAAGTGATGTAGGCCCAAGCCCCATGTAATTTGAAATAAATATATAAAATAGATGTAAGAAAATGAAAGAGACTAAATAGTCATTCCCATTTCATTTAACATTTTTAATAACAAAAGAAAACTGAAAAGCAATATTCTTAGTAAGTAAATAAAAATAGTAATATTCAACTGCGTTTGTCACATTTAACAGAATAACTCTGGTGAATATGGCCTTGAGCATCTTATTTTGTCTTTAGCATGTGCAATATATTTGATGGCATTTATAAGGAAGAAATAATGCTTATTGTTGCAAAATTGTAAATGTTAATTCTATAATTATCTTGAATACTAAAAATTCATTTTTAAGCCCTCTGAAATATATTTTCTATGTTTTTTTTCCTTTTCATATTTTATATAAGAAGAAAATAATATTTAAACATAATTAGAACAGTTTTATTTTTTTTAAATTTGCAATAAAATATTTAGTAAAACATAATGATACAAATGTGATTTTTCTGACTATTATTGAACAATTTAGTTCAAAAATATTAGAGGAAATTAGTAATTAAACTTCCACCTTTATGGATATAATTGCAATATTATTATATTGATGAAATTAAGGTTAAGATTTCATTTTATTAAAAAGATAGATGCACACACAGCTTGTTTATAATTGGGTTCAGGTATAAAAGATGGTAAGTACCATAATGAAAGTTTAGAGAAAATATGAAAATTAATGGCCTATGAAGTTTTCTGCTTTGTTTTCTTTAATCAGAATAAAGTACATGTTACAGCTACAAAGTAGATATAATATTTAAATTGAAGTACAATGTTGTTTATCTGTTAGCATGATTCATTTCTATTAATATGTTATAAACTTAAAATTATTTTACTCCCAAACCCTTCAACTGTTAGTCTAACATTTTTGTTGGAAAAAAAATTTTGGGCATTTTAAGTGTAATATGCTTACAAAGATGACAATGAATCAATATTTATTAATTTTAAAGTCTATAATTATGCATTAATATTTTGTGAAGTACCTCTATTTCATTTTCAAATACCAATGACCATGAAACAAACTGAGTAGTTTAAGAACAGGTTTTTAATCTTTTTTATTTTAGTTGTCATGGTTAACTTATTTTGCTTTATACAAAAAAATTAAATTGTATGTTTTATTTTATGATATGCATTTTAGTGTTTTGTATAATGCAAAATAAAATATGGTAAGGTCCCTTCCTCTAGGATCAAATTTATCAGTAAGTTATAATTATTATAGCTGTTATTTAGCCCGATGTCATACGGCAGTTGTTTAACTTTATTATAATGTATCGGGTTTTTTGTTAAGATGTTTATATTTGCCCAAATTCAAAGTTTGTATATTTTAATAGCATTAAATAGAAACTGTTGGTTGCTGATTGTCAAAGCATTATTGTTAAAAATGTAATTAAAGATAACCTACTACTTGCAATTTATCTTTACTGATTTATAAAGATAAATACAACTAATTTAGTTTTCAAATTCTTATGTAACTGTATTGTAGAGAAATACATGAAAAATCAATTTTTCTTTCTATTCTGACTGACAGAGGGCAGTTAGAGGGTGCTCTTCTTTACTGTTTCTCTTGGAATTATTATTACACGAGACCTTTCAGTGGACGAACTCGCAGATTATCTAATGTCTATGCCAGGCATGGCCAACATGCGGCTGGATCTGGCCCGTCTAATGAATTTTTGCGGCCTGCGATTAATCTTTCAATATTAGCTACTCAAGTCCAAATAGTTCAAAGAAAAATTCTGACGCCTGAAGAAAAAAAGGGGGTCAACAACTCACTGTGCGTTTAGAGTTAACGCTCCATTACAAATCTAGTAAGTACAACGTAGAATGTTGATGAAGCATGATAATGTGAAAAATGTATCTGTAATCTCTATGTACAAACCACAATGAGATCTCGCACCACCTCAAAATCTTCTTAGGGCAGCTTCTGGTTTGGCCCGTGAAAAAAGTTTTCTTTCTAATTCGGCCTGGGGCAAAAACTGTTGTCCACCCTTGGTCTATGCCCTAGGTGGGGAACCTGCGGCCTCTGCGAGGTTCTTGTGCGGCCCTTTGCCACCTAGTACAAAATGGTAGAGTTTGTTTCAAACAACTATTGTACATCAACACCATGACAGTTGCGCGAAAAATCCCGCCAAAGACAGTCATATTGTAACATGACGTCAGAATACTAGTCTGAAACGGACTCTAACACGCATGAGCGAGGCTCTGGCCCACAGACCATCCATTTCAGACTTGGACACTCAATGTTAATTTTTTAAACAGTTTTTTAAAAAATGTTAATTTTTTAAAAAACTGTTTAAAAAGCGCTAGCAGCGCCAACTACCTTGTCTAAGAAGTAAACAAAACTCGGTTTCAGATCTCCCATTTGAGTGTCACACCTTGCTTTGGCTTCTCTGACTCGCATCTCTCAACNTCTTGGATTGTTTAATAGAAGAGTATACTAATAGATTTTCTGATTTTGACGAGCACACTCCTGCTATGAAACTGGCATTTGAACCACATTTAATAGATATATCCGAGGCTCCTGCAGAACTACAAATGGAGTTAATTGATTTAGGGGAAGATAGTATCATCAAATCCCTTTTTAACGCTAAAAAGGATCCCATAGAAATCTGGAAAAATGCTGTTGAATATCCATGCCTTCGAGAACATGCTCGCCGTTTACTTTCCTGCTTCGGAAGTACCTACTGTTGCGAGACAACATTTTCTCTCATGTCAAAAATAAAAACAAATTTAAGAACGCAAATTACAGATGCACATTTAGAGGATCAATTAAAGCTGTGTGTTACGAAGCTTGATCCAAATATACAATTACTGTCAAACAAAAAACAAAGCCAAATAAGTCACTAACTTAGTGAATAAAAAAATATTTTTTATTGTATTTTTTTATAATATTTTTATATTATTTTATATGTATATTATATTTAAAATTTTGTAGTATTATATTTTATTTTTTCTATATAATGCAATAAATTGTTAAATCTATAGAAAAACTATAATAATTTCACAAAAGTCACTTTCTTAGGTCAATAAGCTTATGCGGCCTCTCTTATTGCTGTCTAATTTAAATGTGGCCTCTAATGGTAAAAAGGTTCCCCACCTCTGGTCTATGCTATTAATTAATATTCATTGATAAATATCTTCCAGGAAAACATTTAGAAATAAATAAATACATTTAAAAAGAAAATCATAACCAACGAAACACTCGAGAAAATTAAATGGAAAAAATTCCTTTTCAAAGAATTAAAAAAGAAATTATTTTCTGAACAATGAACTAAAATAGAATATGAAATCAAAAGTTTGTCAAACAAATAAGAATCGGCATTCATAAAGAAGAGTCAATGTATTTTGACAACTTTTTTGTAATACTAAATCTCTGGTAGACTTTTGGAAAAACAAAAAAACTGGTTTTTAATATAACTAAACAGAAGGATGACATTAAAATAAAATCATTGCACGTTAACGGAAATCTACTTGAAAATGACGAACCATTAATGAAGTCATTATACAATAATGAACTTAAAAACCTGTATTCCAGACATAGATAACTTAAATATGGACATAAAGGAATTACAGATATCATCACTGCTACTCTATCTTTTCTGATAATCAAATCCTTCAAAACAGGAACCTTCCCAAATAAATTAAATTACAATATGGTCATACCGATGTACGAAAATAAAAGGTTTAAAAGCAACATAAAAAATTACTGTTTGATTATCATCCCCATACTAGTAAAAATAATAGAGAAAATTTTCTATAAAATAACTTTGGAAATACAATGTAAACGTGATTCCCTGTCATCAATATACTTAGACAAAACTTCTCTACAATAGATGCATTATTACAATTCAAACAGGAAGTTACGAACAAATTAGACAAATCTCGTTCAGTAATAGCCTTATTTCTAGACTTATCGAAAGCTTTTGACAGTGTGCACCTCCGGATTCTCGAAAAAACTTTTTAATACTGGCTTAAGAGTAGTGCCTTTACAATGGTTAATGTCATATCTGTTAAACTGAAGATATCAAGTAAAAGTAAACAATACAACAATGCGTATTCAAAAAGCTTCTCATCGAAAACCGTACATGAGTTGCACATAAGGATCAATACTTGCACCATTACTCTTCAGCATCTACTTGAATGACCTATTTGAAGTGATACCAAAAGCAAAAGTAATACATGTGCAGATGATATTGTCCTAATACATTCCAACAACAACCCCCAAGTAGTGCAATACATCCTCTGCAAACTAATTGATTACATTAGCTCAAATGTGTTGAAACTAAATGAGAACAAAATATCTCTACTTTGTAAATAAAAATAAAAACATTGACAAGGAACAACTTCAAATAATAAATGAAAAGAAGATAGAAACAATTAAGTGCATAAAATATCTCAGAGTTTTAATAGATGATATAATTTCGCAATTTGTGTAAAATCCAAGTCGGATGTATGTAAGCTAATAAATGTTCTCGTTAATCTTATCTCGTCTTTTGATTCGTTCACGGTTACGAGAAATCATCACATAGAGTCTCTCGAGTCTCCGTAGATATAACAAACACAGAAATAAATAACACAGAATAAATTGTAGCTATGTGTCAATTCCGCGTGACATGTCCGAACATGTAAGCTGAACAATAGTGTGGGGGGAGTGAGTAATCAAAAGTTGCGTAGCACTCAAACAAAAGATGAATCGATGAGATTTGAAAATCGTGTAACTCCGGGTTCGCGTAAGTCAGGGTAGCATAAGTCGAGGTATTACTGTATAACTATTTGTGAAACCACATCAGACTGTATTGCTAACTGTCTGCAAGTACAACAAAATCATCTAATGAGAGCCATTTTCAAATTAAACTGCTACAAATCAACTTCCTATTGTTATCAACAAGAAAAAATCAACAACATAAAAACTTTATATGCAAATCAAACTGTACTTATATTTTTTAAATTTATAAAGCTTAATGCATAACAGTTATCTTCTAAACATTATTGAAAATCATTGCAGGAAGGAAAACTACTGCCATCATCTAAACCATAACTTCTTAAAACCCTCAACAAAACTTTCAATTGGACAAACTGTCCAGTCTTTCAAATGATAAAATACTGGAACTTGTTATATAAAGATTTTCAAAAGATAACTAACAAGAAGAAATTCAACTGAAACACAAGAAAAAACCACCTCAGCCAGATCTTTAAAGTAAAAATGTTTTAACTGAAAAACCAACAATTCTGCAGATCAAAGATGTTTTCCTGCATACTTAAAATTTAAAAAAAAATGATAATTGATATACACAAAAAAAAGTGGGAAAATGTAGGAAGAGGGGAAGTAAATTTCTGAAGGATTTTTGACTACTATGGATAAATTATGCTTTTCTGTTTTAGTGTGGTGAAATTTTTTCTTAGCTATTAATTAATGCTTTTTGCTGATTTTCATATGCTTTTTGTTCCTCTGTTTGTTTATTTTTTATTTTTGTGGCATTTGAAAAAGGCCAAATGGCCACAGTGTCTTTTGAGATTAAATTTATTTAATTTGTATATAATACATTCAAACAACCACCAGATTACATTGGATTACTTTCCATGATTATATTTAATTAATTACTAAATAATTTGTCATTAGAGGGAGGCATTAGACACCATCTCTTATTAAATTTAATAATTATAATTAAATGAAATAATTTTTCATTAGTAATTAATTAGACATAATTGGGAAAATTGCCAATGTAACCAGTAGCTTTACAAATTTATCGGATTTTGTGATATTTGTTTATGTATAATATATTCGTTGCAGTTTGTATTTTTGATGTTTCTGCTTACTAAGATTTCAATATTTACAATTTTAAACAGCTAATTTATTGTAATTGTGCTATTTTGTATAATTGATTTTGTTTATAAATAATAAAATTGATTACAAAGCGATTTTATTTTGAATATTTTAATAACTAAATAAGTGCTTAGTTAAAATATTTTATACATTAGGACTGTTTAACTCTTCATTTGCAGTAAAAGTCATTTGAATTTTGATGTTTTCAAAAATTAATATAATTATAAATTGTTATATTTTATTACTTAGTCTTAAAATTTTTCTATTGCTTTTAGGAAGAATTACTCAAACTAGCAAAACATCCACATTCTAAAAAAAGACCAAATTGTTTAGACCCTGTATATAATAAGTAAGTGTTAATTATATTATTGAAATATATAATAATTTTTTAAGTTAAACTTTGTCATAACACCAAATATAAGTGAGTGTACTTAATACAGTAAATATTTCTAATTAGAATAAATAAGCCTTAGAAATTGATATTTACATTTATTTATTAAATATATTAACAAATTTAAGGAATAAAGAAATCTAATTTTAGTTTAGATAGCAAATAATAGTTTTCTTACTCTATTCCAATAATTTTTAAAATAGTATATCATTAAGGGTAAAAGAAATCTTATAAGTACAGAATTTATAAGCCTATTCATTGTTTATCATGCACATTGGGTTAAAAAAAATGCATTGAACTATGCCAAATTTTAAAATGAATGATTCATGGAAAGAGAGGTGATTTGATGAAACTTTAAAGAACAATCTTCAAATTGTAAATGCCCATCTTTCCAAAATTATGCAAAGAATAATGAGGAATCAATGATTAATGCGTGGGTGATGGTTTTTTTTAAAATAAACTTTATAAAACAACAGAATTATAAAAGAACAATTTGATTGAAAATACAGTAGAGCATCAATTATCCGAGCCCCGATCAACCGTCACATTGGTTAACCGATCGCATTCTAGTTGGAAAATTCAAATGTCTGCTAGTGATGTGGTGCTACAATATTTGGCTATGTCTTGGCTACTTTAATATTATTTTTGTTAAATTTTTGCATGTTTTAGCTGGCATCAACGGCTCGACCATGAAAGGGAGACCAGTATTTAAATGAGGCTTAATTTTCTAATTATGAGTGGTTGTTTGTTTTTGTGTGGATTTTTCTGAGGACTGTGTGTCGTGCTGAATCGGAATCCGTTTTCATCGGAGATATAAATTTTGGACTTCTTTTTCTAATGTATAGGTCTACTTTATGTAAAATATGTAACCCAAATACTGTACATTGTTTTTGTTTTATATTTTTCAATGTACAGTACTGTATTTATTTAGTGCAAAATAAAGAAATAATTTTTAACGATACAATAGTGACAATTATTATTTTTTAAAAAATTTTGTTAGGCTTAACATCAATGAAAATTCAATGCAAAGTAGATTAATGGTGATATACTAATTATATGAGCTATACTAATGTACTATACTAATAATGTATTTTTTCATACTTTTTGGTTATCCGTTTTTTTCAGTTATCCGACCAACCCCAGTCCCCAATTGAGTCGGATAATCGATGCTCTACTGTACTAGGGTTTCTCATTTCCCGGTCTTTTGTTTGTCCTGGGATTTTGGAAAAAAGTGAACTGTTTCCCAGAATAGAATTATTTTTAAGATATACAAAATATCTTGAAATCAAATGATATAATTATTTTTAATTTTTTAAAGTAATTTAATATGTTCTGCAACCTCCAAAATCATATTAATAATACTGTATAAGATATATATTAAAAATTACCTTTGAATTACATAGAAATTTTCACAAATAGAAAAGATGTATGCAGTTTCCAGCAAACTTTAATAAAACAAAAAAAAAATGCTTTGAATTGAGTTGAAAATTTTAAAAAAATGAACTTAGATCAAACTTCTAACTTAAAAGGTAATTTTTGTTTTTTAAATAAAATATAATACAAAATATTGTAAATTTTTATAATAAGGTTTTAAAAAGCAAAGATGGTCGATACTCCGATCACTCAATCTGATTCTTATTTTAGTAATGAAAAGTCCTCCTACCGAGAATTCCCTTTCCGATTCAATTGATGTGAGTGGAATTGTGTTTAATGCATTTAAGAGAAGACAGATGTTATGTTTTTCACCTGTAGCCTGGAAGATTTCTAGTTCATTTTCGAGATTGTAGTACTTCTTTTGCTCTCTACTATTTTTGATTTGTCTACCTCGGCTGCTTTAATAGAAATATCGAGCTTATAGCCCAATAATTCGGCAGTTCGTCTTTAATAAATCAGATTTATGGAAAAAACTTTATACTTGCAGACTTCATACTCATTTGTATCCTTGCCCATTTTGCACAATCTGGCATTATGCAGTTATTGAAGCTACTGGGCATGGTTAAAAATTAAGACAGCATAAGCACAATTGTTTCAGATATTACAGGTTCTGACAAGTAAAGAATTTTCAGAGTCCTGCCACAAATAAGCTACGTATTGATTATTGACCATTTGTGACATACCATAACAACAAGCAAAAATCTAAAAAACTAATAAGTTGGTTTAAATTTAATAAATACAAATGTATTCTGACAGTTTATGAGTTAATTATATTTTCTATTTGCAAAATTTCCTCAACCTTAACACAAAATAAGAAAAAAGTGAACTTTTTAAGAAATTTGTGGGATTTCTTGGGATGAGAAGAATTTTCCAGCTTAAAAAAACAGCTGGGATCCTGTTTGAGAAACCCTAGAGAATATTGTATGTATTAAAGTTCTTTTCAGCTTTTTCAATATTTTTTGAATATTATTCAATTTAAAAATTTTACAGATAAAATTGCATATATCAAGATTTACTTGTATTTTATAATATACTAGCATATTATAAGTTTTGACACTTTTCTGTGTCCTTTCTGATACAACAGTGTCACTAATTTAGTTGTTTATGACTCTTTACCTGAAGTACATATTTACTGGCAAGGAATGAGGTTAATTTGTCATATCCATGACTGTCTACTGGTAGAATTAAAAGGACAAGAGATCCTAAAAATTTATGAATCCAACAAGAAAAACTAAATGTATCAAGAGAGAGAGCTTTTATTAATTAATAGATGCATGTAAATCCTTTTATGAAGTCCCCTAACTTGGAAAGAGCAGAGAGGTTTATACAGCAGGCTGTGCATTTGTTTTTACTTTGTAATTTGTTGTAAAAACTTTTCACTTGTTTTAATTAAGCCTATTAGGTTCTGAAAATGTTGTTCTACCATATTTAGCTTGATAAAGATAATTTGATTAACATGATCAGAAACATTTTTAGTAAATTACTTCTGGTAATTGATAGTGTTATTTTCATTTAATTTATTATTCAGTTTGCTCAGTTAACTTGATGTCATGTGATGTTATGAGGATCTATTGAAAGACATTAAATTACATTACTAAAAAAATATTATTCAGGATAATTTGAAGAGAAAATAAATCAAAACTAGTCTATACTGCTGCAAATTGCACTTTAGCATAAATTGAAATATTAGCTATTTTAGCAAATATTTTTAATATTTTACTATCAATGGATTTTACAAACTTTCCTACTTCAAGACAATATCAAATATTGATTAATATGAGATTGCAGAAATGACGACAAAATTGTAGAACCATTTGAATAGAAGTTTTTGAAAAACAGTATTTAATAATGCTTTAAAAATATTGAAGATAGAGAATTTGAAACAATACTTCTTTATATAAGTTTTTATGATTGTATGAATGTTAAAATATATTTATTTAGCACAACTGGGAAATGGGATCCTGAATGCTGGTTTGTTAGCAAAAGAAGTAAGGAAACTCTTCAACCAGAAGAATCAAGATATAAAAAAGAAAGATTGGAAATTGATGTTGGAGTCAATCATAAACGTCGAATTCCAGATCCAAAAGAACGTGTCAAGGAAGAGCGAGATGACATAGTGCTCAGTCCACAGCGAAGAAGTTTTGGAACTGGTTGCCATGTCATACAGCATTCGTCCTTGAGTCGCTGTTCTAGTAGCCCTACTGATGCCAGAGATACCGAAAGGTAAGCATTAATAATAACTTACTTTTATAAAATCTTTTTATATATCAGGGCTGGCCAAACCTTATTACAATAGAAGCCATATAACACGTATCAAAATTATGAGTTGCATTTCCTATTGAAACTGCATTTTATATGATATATGTATTATGAGAATTGCAGTAAGGATCTAGAAGAGCCACTTGCAGCTTACAAGCTGCAGTTTGGCTAATGTGGCTATATATTAATATCTAAATGATTTGATTGAGGAATGTGAATTTTAAATTAACTAAAATGAGCAATCATTCAGCTTTGACTGTTTTAAATATGTAGTTGAAAATGGAATAACAATCCTCTGGTAAAACTTTNGGAATAACAAAAAATTCTAAAAATATTTTCTATATATTATCTGTATATTAAAAATATCAGTCAGTTTTTATAAATATGAAATAAAATTAATTTTGAACTACTTGAAGGATATAAAGACTTGTTTCTTTTCAATTGTGAATATTTTATATAAATTCAACAAATGTTCTTAATCTTAAATAAGAACTGCTTTAGGTTGTTGATCTGAAGTAGATCTTGTTTAAGGAAAAAAAAAAATAAAACATTCAATGAAGAAGCAAAATCATTGATTTTAATGGTTTCCTATATAATTACTAGTTCCTACTAGTAATTATATATTTACAGTCTTAACTTTCATGATAAGCATTTAGTCAATCTTACGGACAATTAAAACAGAAGTCAATAATAATAAATATATAACTGCATATAAAGCAACAATTAAACACATTTACAATCTTTAAGCAGAAAAACTATTTAATAAAGAACTCAATAATTATAACACTAATAGGCTATAAACTCTTGTTTTTTTTTTTTTTTTTTTCCATTGCTGTAAAGTGAATTTTGATGATTAATATAATTACAGGAAATCCTTGTTAGTTTAATGTTCAAGGGACAAAATAATCACACTTAAAATTATTGCATTTTTAATTATCTGAGATGTTCATATTTCTGTACAGTATGTGAAATGCCACATAAGTGATGTAATTTATTAAGCAAATGGAATACAACTATATATACAAAATGCTATTTTTGTTAATTAATAATTATTAATAATAATAACAATATAAATAAACTGCAAATAAACAGCATGTGTCCAGTGAGAACTTCAGAGGTTGCCAGAAAAGTTTTTTAAAAGTAAAGCAGATTTTTCTGAATGTACCCCAATTTATTTTTAAATTATCACAAAACGTAGAAAATGTTGTTTAAATCTAATAGCATAGAACCTTCAAATATTTCAATCTGCTGTAACCCAGTCTTTTAACCCTAAAACCCAGCCATATCCTATGAAATGAGAAAAAGAGTAGTTGATGGCTAAGGTGACATCCAAAAATGTGTTACTGTAAAAGCAATTCCATGCTGACTAGATTGGAGTTGTTCATGGTCTATTATTCTCTTATAGCATGAAGGCATGTGAACTTTGATTTAACAATATGAGTTAATATACACATCATAGTTTGAGCGAAATTATCATTTTGAATTTCAAAGTAGCTGTAAAATTCCTTAATGTGCAAACCTCTATATCAGGTATGGCCAAACTTTTATCCCTTAGGGGCTACTTTTTGGTAAAATATAGTCTGCGGGTGACTATGAATATGGGCAAACAATTTTAGGATTTTTATATGCTCATGCGTTAACATTCATTTGCATTGTTCATCGAAATAAATACAAACAGTATGGGTATGTTGCACAGACGGTCTATTATTGTAAGAATAAATTATTGAATTGAGATTTTTAAACATTAATTTAAGTGAAAGCAAATTGTTCAACTTTAGCTTTGCGGGCTACTTTCAAAACCTTTGTGGTCGATTGCAGTCTACGTGTTGGCCATCCCTGCTCTATATCCTTGGCCAGGACAAACAGTACGGCAGTGTTTCTCAACGGGGCCGATATCGCCCTCATGTGGGCGATTTTCCACGTTGAGGGGGCAATTAGTAACAATTTATATTTTGGGGGGCGAAAAACAAATTTCTGGGCGATATAGTAAAACATTATATTAAGAATAATTAGATATTTTATTCGTTATATCGTACAATAATTAAACAAATAACATTATACTAGTCACTAGTCTATTCAATGCAGTACGAATTTGGTATTAGCCTTGGCCCTCGGCATCGGAATTTTGAAGTGAAGGGGGTGATACTACATAACGGTTTTATTGAAGTTTTATACTACATTGAAGGGGGCGACAATTCATTACAAGCTGAGAAACACTGCAGTGTGGTTATGAACGTACAGGATTTCAAACTATCTAAGTTTGAATTAATAAGTATTTCTTTCATACACATTTAAAATGTTATCCCCAGTTTATACACAATAGCATTACTTTGATCATTTTTCTAACAAAGTTAAAACTAAAGATATAATTACCATTTTGATTTGTTTGTTTCCTTTTTTAAATGCTCCAGTTAAATTGTGTATGAATATTAAAGTAATATTCATACACAAATTAAAATAATATAAAATATGAGATAGCCTGGGACGCCCCCTAGTGGGCATTCTAGCAGCAGCAGTGTCATTCTGTGGTATAAATACAGGTAACCCCCGTATAACACGGTAGTTACGTTCCAAAAAATTGCCGTGTTATGCGAATCCGTGTTATACGAAACAAAGAACTAATACGAAAAGGAGGGTTAGGTTCCAAAAATTAAAAAACATGCTACTATATTTTCATAATTAAGATAAATATCTTCATTAAAATTTTTTTAAGTGATACATATTAATATAAATTAAACAATGTTTTCTTCGTCATCACTAAAAACACTATTAATTAACCGAGAGCGTTTTCTTTTTGGCAAGTTATCCTTATCCTCTGAGCATTTTTCTGCATTATCTTCAGATCCATGCTTTACCTTTTGCAAAATGTATGTAATTTTAGATTGCTTGCTTCTAGTTAAAAGGTCTTTATAAATTTCCTTATATGGTGCTAAGCACTTATGAAGAATAAAGCAAGTATGGAATAAGGGAAAAACATTCGGCAACATCAGAAGCAGAAGCGTCGCGATCTGGCAACATTGAAACAAGTTTCGAGAAGGACCACGTGTATCGACAGAAGGCGAGAAGAGAAAATTTACATACTTAAGTACTAATAGTTCACGAAAATAATAATTTTCGTGAACTATTATTACTTAAGTATGTAAAAATTTATTACATTTCCTGTTGTTCGAGGGTTTTACCCAATTCTCGAACTGTGTCAGAGTGAATCCGTGCTATAAAAGTACCGTGTTGTACGGGGGATGGTACCAATTCTCGAACCGTGTTAGAGCGAATTCGTGCTATAGAAGTGCCGTGTTATACGGGGGTTACCTGTAATAAATTCTTATTACAAATAATAATATACTGTTAATAAATAAATTATACTGTTATAAATAAAATATAGGACATGGCTATTTATACATACAGTATGTATACACAATTGGCTATTTATACATACTGACTGTATGTTCCAGCTAGATACTGACTGTATGTGCTGTTATTACAATTAATATTTTGATAACTACACAATTATAAATAATTATAGCTTTATTTATTAAAGTTCAGTTACAGTGTTGTTCAATAAAGTAATCAATAAACTTTGAAGTATCATTAAATCAGTGAAATATAGGTAATGAAATTTAAAGTAGATTGGTAGGTATACCAATAAAGTAAAATAAATATATTATTTTTTATTCTGTATTTTAATTTTTTTTTTAATGTGGTCTGATTAGTCTTTCTCTTCGGACATCCTTTGGATTTAATTTTAGTTTTGAATTTTAAGTTTTTATTTGATTGATTTGAACAAGGCTCATTATTAGACCAAATTTGTTCTTCGGGTTCTTCTGGTTCAGTTGTACTAAGCCCACTACTCTCGTGTTCAAAAAGAGAAATTGCATTTCTTGCATTGCTTTCTATTACTTTTAATTCCTCTACATATTTATTGAAGGTTTGCATTCCATAATTACACAAAATATTTGCAATATTTTTAGTTATCACCAGTGCTGTATTAAATTTTTCCCTATCTGATAATATTTTATTGGGGCAATCAAAATTGTCAGTAAAAGTTTTATCTTCAATATGATCATTGATGTTTACATTTACATCATCTGTATCCATGCTTAGTGCATTTTCAATTGAAATAATATATCTTGCACAAAAGCAAGTTTTTGAAAATATGTCCAAATTCAAATTATTATATTTTCTTATCATAAAGACTATGACAACATGTTGCACTAAAAGAATTCCAAAATGAACAAGAACATGTTTCCACCGATGTATTATAAAATTTTGATATTTTGCTATCAAGATTTTCCTTAATGCCATTATTTTTAATTCTCATTTCTCGATAATTGATATTATAATTAGGATATCGATAATCAAAATTTAGGATATCCTAAATTATAAATAACATTAAAATTGTCATCTCTATGTCATGGCTTTAAAAGGGTTAATAATTAAAATAACATGAAAGAAACAGAAAAAATGAAATGTTTAGGATGATGCCTTCTAAATTACATAGGGGTTAATTGTCATGTTTTCAACTGAAAAACATTAATAATTATAGCATGGCATTCTTATACTTGTGAGCACTATGATGACCTCTTTATTCCTAGACTTACTACACCATCTCAGACACAAGATCAGCCTTAAAACATCACTTTATTTTTCAAAAACGTTTTTGGAAAATAAATTGATGTTCTAAGGCTGATCTTGTGTCTGAGATGGTGTAGTAAGTCTAGAAATAAAGAACCCATTTTAGTGCTCATAAGTATATTCCAAGCTAGACAAGAAGTGTATTATAGTATGGCATTTTTAATCATATATTTAATTTAAAATATATGCTCTTGATATTTTAGTAGTATCTTGCCCATGTACGGTACATCATACTTTTCTAGATAACAATAAAGTCATGCCTGACATCTATCTAACTCTGTTCTGGAGAAAATTTTTGAATTGAAATGATGTGGTTTAGATCAGAAGTTTATATGTGGTTAATTAGAACCTCTGGCCTCTGTGCTTTCCCTATCTGGTCTCGACTTTTATCTAACTTTGTTCTTGGGATTAAGGAAGGACAGGCACCAGTGGAAATTTATAGGTCTGCAATTTAAAAATCGAAGCCCAATTAGTAGGTGTAGTTAAACATTTTTTATGCAGATAATATGCTGGATATTAAAGTACTTTATAAGAATTTAATAAAATAATTATTAGACTGCAATTTGAAAAATTGTAGACAAATTTTCACTGTTGTCCATCCCTGTCTCTTTCTTTTCCTTAATTTTGAGAACAGAGTTAGATAGATTAAAGACGAGACCAGATATGGAAACCTTAGGGGCAGGAGGCCTTGATTAACTATATAAGAACTTCGAATGCAAACTGGAAGTCATGTTATTTCAACTCAAAAATATTCCCCAAAAGGTGCTAAATAGATGACTGGCATGACTCTGTTGTTAAAGAAAAAGTATGATGTACAGGGGCAAGCTGCTACTAAATTGAGATGTAGAGCATATATTTTAAATTAAGTAAAATAAAAATATGATTAAAAATTACAGTTCGGCATTATGATGATGTCACAATAAATAATTACTCATTATTTATACAAAATATCCTTGGTAAATTTTTGTTCTTGCTAAAGTATGTTATTAGAAAGACTTAAAAGCATGACATAGTTTATATATATATATATATATACATACATACATGCAGTTGATAGTTAAATTATTTATAAAAGGGATTGATGATGATCAAAATCTTTAACATATGAAAAAGTTGGTTTGAAGAAGGATCAGAAATTGAGGTGTATAAAATCCTCCCTTTAAAGATAAACAAAACAGATCAAAATAAATAGAAGAACATATGGGACATTAAATGAGAAATAAAAAAAAACATGAAGGAATATTNATATATATATATATATATATATATATATATATATATATATATATATATATATATATATATATATACACACATACATACACAATAGACATATCTTAGTTGAGTGTTTTTTTATTTCATTTACATACTTAGATACTTGAATCTATTGTATTCTACACATCAAAATTTAAAGATAAATTATTGATTAACAAAAACAGCACACAACTATGGCTAAAACTAGCCATAGTTGTGTGCTGTTATCAGTTTATTCTGGTACTAACAGAGAAATCAGTGTATCAAATAAATGCAATTTTAAATGCAAAAAAAATTATTACTTGGATATTAAATGTTCAGAATCTCTGACTGTTTTTAAAACAGTGATTTAATTTAGAGAAAAATAATCGATTTCTTAATGTCATTTCATAAATATATAGATGATGGATATTTTAATATTTCTGATTTATTATATATACCAGGTTGTTCAATAAGTTTTGTCGTTCGATAAGAAAAACACGATTTTATGGTTTGAAATACATTTTATTATTCAATATAATCTCCCTGAACTTCAATACACTTGTTCCAGTGATCTTCTAATTTATGGATTCCATCCCTAAAGTGAGAATCCGGAAGACTGTCGAAATACGCATCCACGGCTGCTATTACCTCTTCGTTCGATGAAAATCGTTTCCCACGCATGAATTTTTTTAGATGTGAGAACAGCCAGAAGTCAGAGGGAGCTAAATCTGGCGAATAGGGAGGATGTTGCAACAATTCGTATTTTAATTTACTGATTTTCGCAATGGTTTTTTGAGCTGTGTGAGAGGGGGCGTTGTCTTGATGAAAAATGATTTTTTTCTTTTTTAAACCAGGTCTTTTCTCACGAATTTTTACATCTAGCTGGTCCAAAAGGTTACAATAATAATCTGAGTTTATTGTTTTACCAGTTTGGAGGTAATCCACAAACAAAATTCCTTTTGCATCCCAAAAAACTGATGCTAACACCTTCTTGGCCGATTTCTGGACCCTAACACGCTTCGGAGCCGAAGTACCGGGTTCACACCACTCTTTAGCCTCTTGTTTTGATTCAGGATCATGGTGGTAGACCCATGTCTCATCCATAGTGATGAAACGACGCACAAAATCCTTTTTATCCTTTCTAAAACGCTCCAAATGTTGCTGAGAAAGTTGCATTCGAATGTGTTTTTGTTCCATAGTTAACGAATGCGGCACCCATTGTGCACACAGCTTTCTGTAACCCAAAACTTCGGCCAAAATATTGCTCACACTGCCTAACGAAATCCCTAGGGCTTCTACTAAATCTCTCTCGGTTAATCGACGATCTTCCAAAACCATATGCTGTATTTTTGCTACGATTTCTGGTGTTGATGCACTTTTTGGACGCCCTTCACGTGGATCGTCTTCAAGACTCGTACGACCACGTTTAAATTCAGCAACCCATCTTTCTACTGTTCTGATTGAAGGTGAAGAGTCCTTATACACTTTTAACAATCGTTCATGAATTTGTTTTGTTGCTACACCTTCCAAAAATAAGAATTTTATCACTGCACGATATTCAGTTTTTTCCATCGTAAAAAAATACAATGACACGTCGACTTTGAACAGCTGCAAATATACAATGAGTTGACGGATCTACTTGAAACTTGACACGTGTTTATGAAATAGTAGTACTATTTATAGAATAATAAAGTGACGCTCCTAGTAGCGCCACCTCTTATCGAACGACAAAACTTATTGAACAACCTGGTACTTGAATATAAGATGCCATTGGATGTGAGATGTAACCTAATTTCTTCATGCCTATCCACAAAGTTTTCTTGAAAAATAGACAACTTGAGACAAATTCATGTTGACAGAATTGATTCTTTTAATGTAAATTTGTTTAGTATTTATTGCACATTAAAAGTAAATTATATATCACTGTCTTCCATAATATCAGTCTGTTACCTCTTCTGAATCAACACTGGATTTAATGCTCATGTCTTCCCATGGACACACTTCCACAGTCTCATTTAAAACATCTGCAATGCAACATTTCTTGAAAGTGTACTGTGCAACTTTTTCTTGGATTTTCTTCTAAGTACTTAAGGCATTACTGTAATAGACTAATGAAATTGAGCTAACCTGATCTCACAAATACTTACTTTAATGAATATTGACCAGATATAATTAATAAAATGACATAATGGAATTAGTAACAGAATAAGATGCAGACCCTAGATGTCATTAATTACGATGTATTATATCAAACCTAAGATTACCTTGTTTTAGAAATAGTAAAACTTGAAAAAGTGTCTTACATTTGAGTAAATACAGTATGTTATGATTCTTTATATCAGAATAATTAAGATATTTTTTATGAACGTTGACATAAACATTATATCAGATTTTTTTTCAATACCTTAAATATTTATGAAGTACATTGTTAGAATTATTTTGGAAATTCTTTTAATTTTTCATAATTAAATTTTTAAATTAAGCACTACACATCGGGAGACAAGTCGAAAAATTGGAAGTGGGCGCATTATCAATCGTGAGAGAGATCCACGTGAATGGGAACGTGAGCATAGAGAATATGGATATAACAACAGGGGAAGTGATAGGAGGGAACGATTTGAACAAGATGATGGCGATAAGGAAGGAAGAAGGTATTCAAGTCGTTATGGACGAATAAATGATCGTGGAGATAGAAGGACAACTCGTAAGTGCCTTTTTGAACAATTTAGTACTTAATGGTGTTAAGATTTTGTAATGATATGATAAAATTTATTATGTAAAGCTTAGCTAATAGTTTGTACTATTAAATATTGAGATATTATAATATACAAGTCTTACAATATTTTTTATAATAGTACAAAAGTTAATACGTACTATATTAAATTTAGAAATACAATTCTAGGCAGAAAGTAACGACTTCATGTAAGACTCTCATAAGCACTAAAATATAAATAATTTTAAATTGAGTTGTATACATACAAACTATAATTATACAAGGTCTGTTCAAAAAGTATCGGACCTTATTTTTTTCCGCGTAAACCAATGATGCGAGAGAGGCCTCCTTCGGTGGAGTTGTGGAGGGGACAGTCATGCACAGCCCTGAATTTTTTCCCGCCTGCAGAAAGCGTCAGTCGTTGGCAATCGGCGTATGAGTGAGGTCATGTAGTGCGCTCTCGTCGGATTTCACTAAGCTGGAAAATGACTGAACAACGTGAGCAGCGATATTACATCAAATTTTGCCAAAAACCTTGGCGATACCCGAGTGTAAACCATTCGCAAGATTCAGCAGGCTTTCGGGGACGATCCTCGAGGCCAAAAAAAGCGCGGCAGGTCCGCAGCAATATCAAAGGTCATGTTGACAGTTTTTTCGACTCTCGTGGGGTGGTGTGTCGTGAGTACGCACCACAAGGCCAAACCATCGCAAAGGAGTACTACCAGGAGGTCCTTCGTCGTCTTTCCGATACAGTGCGACGCAAACGACCGGATCTGTGGTCGATCAAAACTTGGCAGCTCCATCGTGATAACGCATCCGCCCATTCTGCGCATCTGATTCGGGCTTTCGTCGCCAAACACAATACTCCTGTGGTTCGTCACGCTCCGTACTCTCTCCACATGGCTCCGTGTGACCTTTGGCTATTTCTCAAGCTGAAAATGTCGCTAAAAGGAACCCAAATTTAGTCGAGAGAAGACATCATGCGAAATGCGACGGACCGGCTAAAAACCATTCCAAAAGATGCGTTCCAGCAGTGTTTCCAGCAATGGCAGGAACGCTGGGAGAAGTATATACATTACCAAGGAGACTACTTTGAAGGGGATTAGGGTTTTGTACCTCAAAGTCAATAAATTTATTTTTGCCGACCAAAGGTCCGATACTTTTTGAACAGACCTTGTATTCTCATTTAAATGTAAATAATCCAGATAAATGCTAAACATCCATTTTTATTCAATTTTATGCAATTGATAATTTAAGTATAATTTTGTGAATATTAATTTCACATTAACTGAACAAGTTTTACACCCTATTTATTTATATTTTAATTAACTGTTAATTAATATTAATAGATTATAATTACCAATCCAATTTTATTTTGTTTTGGGAAGAAGTATGTTAATAATAATAATTTGGGTGATTCTAGAGTTAAAAATTTTTAAATAGCTTGGATCAAAAATAATTGGAAAAAAGTATCTGTCATCAAATATGAATATTTTATAATGTATTAATTTTAAAATAAAGATGTTTAGGTGAATATAATTAGAATTTTTAGAATATTTTGAATAATGCTAATCCGCAAGTTTTAATTAAAGAGATAATTCAAAAATTGTAATAAAGAGGAGTAATTTGTGTTAAATTTAGTTAACACAAATAACAGTTAACTTTAGCCATTTGTGTGCTAAATCATTGCATTGAATTTATCTTTTTATTGTCATACTAAAAAATGCTCTTGAAACTGAACTTGTTGTAAACTTTAAAATAATAATGTCGTTCCTTTTTTTAAAAGTTTAAGAAAAATTAATTTTTTTAAAAATTCATCGCATTCAGAATGAACAGAACTAAATAAATTTCTCAATAAATAAATCAGTTTTATGGAGTTTTATTTTTTTTCCATTATTAAAAAAAAAAAAAAAAACTTGACCGCTTTCGAGACATGATGTAATTGTTAACAATTTTATAATAGTTGACACATTGTTATTGATCGTCTTACACAATTTTTCCTTTGTACTGTCCTATTCTCTGCTATTTCATTTTATTTGTGTAGTGAATCTGTTGCTGTTATAAGTTGTAACTATTAAATATTTATTTTTGCAGGTTCTATGTTAACTAATGTAAAAATTAAATACAACTTAGAGTTGTATTTAATTTTTACATTTCTTTGTTACTGTTTCCACAGATTTGAAGAAAACAGGATTTTTTTTTTCTTTTTAGACTATGCAAGTTGTTTTGTTACAGGAAGTTAGTGGCTTTATTGTTTTCTTTTATTTGCTTATAAATGCTATTAAGGATTTATATTGTAATTTTTTCCCCCATGTTTTGATTCATCTATCTGCTCAGTACCTTACTGAGAATTTCCTTTTTCTTACCCTCATTTTTATCCCCCCTCTCTCTTTTCCTCTTTTTCTTTTCTTAGCCTAGACTCTTTAGTAGTCTCTAACCCCCATAAATAAATAGGGAACAAAAATTTCACATGATTTGCTAATATTTTATTACCTAATATAATGATTGTGTGCAAACTAATATATACACAAGTATTAAAATAATAGTTTTTTAGAAAAATATAAAATAGAAATGCTTAATTTTTTCATAAATTTTAGACATATTAATAAAACATGATTACTTATCAGGTCGGAATGATAGAATTGAAGAAGAAGCGGAACCAGAGTGGTTTAGTAGTGGACCAACTAGCCAGTCAGAAACAATTGAATTGGTTGGATTTGATGATGTTGCACATGATCACGAAACAAAAAAATCAGGCAAGAAATCATCTAATAAGAAAAAAGAAGTTTTTCGAAAACAGAATTATTCTGAAGAAGGAGAAAGAACAAATGGTGTTACGAACTTTTCTTCACAAAAAAGTATGTTTTATGTATTTATTTTTCAATTTTTTTATAATAATGGATTAGTAAATATAATCATATTTTATGAATGGTTGAAAAATTCTCTAATAGTGATAATGTCTTGTTTTACAAAGCAGTTTGAGTTTTCAGTGATATTTAGTGATAGCAATTTTGAGATAGTCATGTACTAGAGTAATAAAATATTTTAAACAAATTGTTATCATTAAAGATAAACCTTTAACTGAAACAAAAAGTAACAATCATATTTCTTTTGATCTAAAATATTTGTAATGAAAAGATTTTTCTGGTTTTCTGTAATTTTAAAAAACTACAGAAATTTATTTGTTTANTATAGATAATCCTCATTCGTGCCTAATTTAGAAAGATACACAAAGGTCTAATTAGAACTGTGACTCAATAACATTTGTCTTTACAATTCATTGAAAGTTTGATTTCCCTTGCGTAAAATCTGCATAGATAACCAGAAATTTATTACACTTACATAATTTCCTGTAAACAAAATTAAAAAAAAAAAAAAAAAACATTTATCGATTTGTATCAAAGTTTTTCAACCCCCTCCAACCATTTCTTTTACTCAAACTTTCTATAAACTTTTTAATTCATTTATTTGATTTAATTAGTTTTAATTGTCAGTATGACAATTCTCTGTAAACAAAATTAAAAAAAAATAACTAACAAAAATTCAGAGGGCACCACATATGTCACATGAAAACAGAACTGGTCTGGAATCAACAGGTATCATCTTTCTGTTTAGTTACCAGTTTTGCCCTTACATATATCATGTAATTATCAGTAGTGTTTTTTGCTTGTTAGATGCCATTATGTTTCCTTTCCTTTTTTATCACCAACAACACATAAGAGAATAATATCCTGATATAAAATATTTGAACTAAGCACAGTTTTTCTGTCTGAACAAATTGTGCTTAGTTCAAATATCATAATTGAATTGAAGTGCCACTTTAACTCAATTCTTAGCCAACAAGTCAATAATATTGTGTTAGGAGACCTTAAACAATGATCACTTGCCAATATCACTGAATTATATTTTAGTTTTAAAGTTATAATTTTCATTACTTTTGTGTAAGATGACAAAGAAGAAAATTTTTTCATTTATATATTAATTACTAGTGTGCTAACCGAGGGGGCTGAAGCGGAGAGCTTCTCCCCACTTACCGGCTTGGCTGTCAGGAAATGGCTATAGGAGGGCAAAAGGAGTGGGAGGCGTAATGAAGTCGTGATGAGGTGTCGGTAGTACACAGTAAGAGTCATTAAATTTAGGAACAACACATTTAATATAAACACAAGAATGTTACAAATACATTAGGGTACATCTTAATTCTAAACAAAAGTGAAAATGTAATAATATTAATTTCGCGTCGCGACAATATCGTACAACCGATGTCCGTCTATCCCATAAGTAGGACCGTCGAAGGTCCTCGACACAAATAATTCTAAGACCTATCAAAAGATACAGAGCAAATAATTTCTAAGTCCCGAGTAAGTCGAGAGACGAATAAATTCTATGTCCCGAGTATATTGAGAGAGAGTGAAGTAAAAACAATCTAAGTATTTACCTCTTTAGGTCGGCGATCAGAAACCTTGAAGTCCTTCCAGAGTAGACGCTTGTAGTCTTCTTTCTCTGTTGATCTCCTCGAGACCTCCGATCATTCCCCTTTTATACTTTTTTAACGTGGGAAATCTCGGGGACTCCGTTGACGTAATATGTCACTTCTCCCGATTTATGACAGTCTCCCCCGTCATGGGTGACGACAATGCAGACATCGCTTGACCAATTAATGTTAAATTCGTCATCATCTGGGGAGATGACTGACCATTTTAGGTAATGTTTCTCACCGTAAGGGTGACCCTTGTAGGTGACCTATTGTCCACCCTCAATACAGGAACACCCGCAGGAGACTACTCTATTACAAGGTGTCTGCGGTGTGACCAATTAGCAAAAACAAACAAACGCCTCGGGGAGAGGGGAGTTCTTTCGTGGTCACCTCGGATGACTTCGTCCCAGGGATGACCTTCTTGATGGACGAATTACACAGTTCATTATCCGGGGTCTATTCTTCGGGTAACGGGGTGAGAACGGGAGAAATAACGGAAATAATGATGAAAGAAATATAACTTGTTACGTATTTAATTAAAATTCTCATACGATAGTCAGATTTTCACACTAGCATACTAAACCAAACGATCATCGTAATTAATTGGGCTAATTAGATATTATTAATAATTAGATATTGAGTAAATTGGTATTAGATTTAGACATTAGGCATCATATTTTATCTAAACTAATAATTATAATAATTAAAATACTAAATATCTCTAATACCAAATTACCTAATATCCAATTATTAATAATAGAAAAATAATAGCCCAATTAATTATGACAATTTTTTGGTTTAGTATCAATGCATCAAACTTCTGTATGTTTATTATATTTGAAGTGTGCAGTGCCATAATGTTGTAAATGCCAAAAAAGAAACTTTTCAGGAGAGGTAAAAAACATTTTTTCTAATGAATGAATTCATTTCAATTTTTCAATAAAATGGAAAAAATTCACTGGGTTACAAATTCTCTGGAATATCAAAATGATGTAAATATAAGCTGCAACGTTTTACAGGCCAAAAGTCACGTGACTTGCACTCTGGCACTTTAAACATTATATTTTCACATAAATTCATCTTCAAAATACAGCCACTTACACTGCCAATATTGGCACAATATTCTTTTGTGGCATAAAACATTGCATTTAGAATTCAATTCTTCAATAAATTGTATTCAGAAAAAAAAATGGCATTTACAACGTTATGTCATTGCATGCTTCATTTATTAATTACTAGCAATTTATTTTAATGATTTTTGGATATAGCAGTAGAACCTGCATAAATTTAACACTATTAGATCAAATAAGATATTGTTTAGTTTTTCAATGCTTTTTAGAACTGTTTCAGACCTCATTCAAGTAGGTACATTGAAGCTATTTGAATTCCCAGATTTGAAACAGGAAGGCATTACTGTCTTATTTATTGGAGCCATGTTCTTATGTGGTGTGCACATTGGGACCGGCATCCACTGGTTTGACCAGAACAGTCTTGGAGATTTGGTTTTTGCTGATGATTAGAGGAAAATGAGACAATGCTAAGCATGCCATGGCTGCATTAGGTTGAGAGGCACACAAAATTGTCCTCAGAATAAATGCCATGTAGTCGAAAATTATGCATTTGTGTAACGCTGCCCAAACACGGGGAGTAATTGTCAGAGCACAACGATTGGAGGATGTGGACAGATTTACCTACTTACCTACTTGGATAGTGTTATTTCCCAAAATAGCGATGCAGAAATGGATGTGAAGTGCCACATCAGAAAAGCAGTGACAGTCTTCTGGCAGATGAACATGATCTGGGGCTATATTCTGGTCACTTATCTCGTGTCTCTTCTTTCAATGACAAATCATCACTTTTAACAAACTCGTCTTTATTGATGACGTCACGATACTATTAGGTTGATTATACATGTTCAGGTTATCTGCGTGCGCAACATGGTATAGAATTTTAACCAATGAAATTGTAAAATTTTCGAAAATGCAGCGTACGTAATCATAGATCATGTGGAAAGAAAAGCATGCGTTCAAATAAAGCATGTAATTTTGACAAACTTGTTTTTTGTTTTATAGTGTTTTTACAGATTGTAATGTTGATTTGTCTCTTAACAAATAAAAATTTTAATAATTTAAGTTAGAAAAGCATGCAAACTTAGATATTTTTTGAAATATTACCATCCAATTTCTCAACTATCAAAGTAAGATTAACATCACACTCAATAGTTTAGTATTTAATGTAGGATAATTTAAAAAAAAATGGAATCAGTGGCATTTCCGAGTAGGCACTGGCAAAAAATTAGAAGCACTTTCTTTCTCAAAATATTCTTTTCCGAGATAGAGAGGGTTTGGAATGTGATTGTACAGCACAAGTAGCATCCAGTCGTCCATATTGGATATAACGAAATTGAGGCAAAAGACAACTATCCGCTCGTCTCTGATAAATGAGAGAAGCAAAGAGAGAAAAAGTTGTCAGAATTGCATTTAGAGAGACGTGATGATCTCTCAAGACATAAACAAATGATTAGCCAATTAGTGACTGGCTTGTGAGAGACGACAGACAAGAGACGATGACCAGAATACTGCCCCTGGTCCTCACCATCCATCTCATTGAGAATCAAATTCTGCCTGTTCATCTCCATCATGATTCTGCTAGCTGTTTATGCTAGTGAGTCCTGGAAGGCATTGGGAAACATCAATAGAAGGCTCAATGTCTTCGAAGAGAGAATCCTAAAGATCTGATATTTAGATCATATCACCAATGAAGAGATTCTACAAAGAAGTGGGATGTGCAAACTTTATAACATTGTCGCCTGTAGAAGAGTCCAACTGGCCGGCCACATTTTTTATATGGAGAACAATAGGATTCCTAACACAGCCATGAAATGGGTTTCCCCTGGTGCCAAATGACCACAAGGATGCTCCAGGAATACTTGGCATAGAACTTTTCTTCAAGATTTGAAAATGCTCAGTGTGACTTGGAGGAAGCTGAAGCCCTCTCCCATGATTGAAATCAATGGAAGATAATTGCTGCCTGGTATGCTACTTAGCATTGGAGGAACAACTACTGCTACTACTGCTACATGTTCTTATGACAGTGTGATTTTATTTAAGTCAGTTCTTTACTCTTTCCGATATTTACTTAAGTTCTTTTTCACATTACAGTAATTTTTGCTTTTGGTTTTTTTTCATATTTGTCACTTTTGGTAACTTCAAATATGATCACAGCTAATCATTTGAATGCATTTGAATTCTCAAGTAATTTAGCAGTTGGGTTTTTTATTGATAGTTAATAAGATTTTTGCTTGCTGGTACAAAATATTACTCTAATTTTTTCTTAATATCATGCAAGCAGAAACACAGTCAGCTGTCATATTTTTAGATAAATAGTAATAATGGTAACTGGATCAATTTTATACATTATATATTTATTAAACATTAAGAACTTTGTTTTTTTTCTGCAGTTAGAAATTAAATAAAATGTAATGCACAAGAATATCTACAATTATCAAATATTCTGAGAAAACAGCAAAGAAACACTAATGCTAGGTCTACAGTTGATTAAATGGTTATTTCAAGTAATAATTAAGTGACAAACTGGAATGTTTTTGTTATTTACTTAGAAAGAAGTCTTTTTCCAGAATATTAAAAATGCTTCTGGAATATCTTTAATTGACTGTGTATTAAGATCAGATAAAAAAAAATCATGTATTAAAGTTTTTACAGTGAGTAATGTGCAAGCAAAATGTTCAACTCTATATTGGTATTTCTGAATATTGAGAAGACATTTGATTGCATGATGAGATATCTGGAAGAGTTAATATTTCATGATTTACTAACTATACATTAAAAGAAAATAGGCACTATTGAAAAGTTTGTGCATGCAAAAATGAAAACAGCAGAAAAACAAAATATGATTTTATTAATGAGTAAGACATAGTAATGGACTTTCATCTCTGTTGTTTATTGTAATGATGGATAACATTTTAGAAAACATTAATGATCCAATAGATGAGATGATAACAATTTCAAATAACATAGTTTTATGCTCAGTTTTCTAAATTAAGATTGTGACAAAAAATTAGTTTCAGAATTATCTCTGAAAAAATTATATTCAAGTTATCTTTTGGTGTTTGCTATTCTTTGTTTTTACAATATAGGATTCAAAATTAGAAAATTACAAAAATATAACATCACATATACATTAAATAATCGTTTATTATATTTATTTGGTATATTGAGTTATTCCATAATAATAAATGCAAAGTAAAATTGTTCTTAAATTGAAAATTTTTGTGTTTTAGCTGAGTCAATTGCACCAGAGGAAAAAGAAAAAGATACTGAAAAACCAGTGTCTCCAGAGTCTTCCCAAAATATTGAAGAAACATCTGTACAAAAATCAAATGATGAATTTGATTTGAATGAGATTTTCAAGTTAGATTGGTTTCCTGATCTCCTTCCAGTAAGCATAACATTTTACCATTTTAAAATTTTTAACATAACTATGTTATTTATTCATAATATATAAAATATGTTCTCTTGAGCTACTTAGTATACAATATTTTGTTTAATAAGTGACAAATATATTTGAAAATAGTACAAAAATTCATGTTTCAAGCAAATTTCTGGGTGTTGCATATTGGCTCTTCAGACTATGCTGTAAGTCCTCACTTAATATTGTTGATAGATTCTTAGAATTCTGCAACTTTAAGCAAAACAATGTATAACAAAACCAATTTTACCATTGGTTAATTGATAGAAACAAGAGTTAATATGGCATATTTCTGATCACAAAAAAACATCAAATTTCTAAATAAAGACCCAAAACACTTCTATTATACATTGAAGTAAATGTGAGCTACAAACAAATAATATAATTATATACCCAATTTTTGGTGAATCAGTGAGTGATGGAGAAGTTTCTTGATTTATATGATAGGATATTTACTTCCATGTGATTTGGTTAATCTCTCTTTATTAACTCAAAAAGATAAAATCCCACACTTACATCTGAAATCTATTCCTTACTTTTAAAAATAATAATGTTGAAACTGTTAAATAAAAATTTTATTTGTTATGCTTTCATGTATTCAAAAAAAAGTGATATTTTAATTTTACATTAAAATATTTTTGTGAACCGCCGGGGAGGGTGTAGTAGGTCTCCCGATCCGGCAACAGGTTGTTAAACCCTTTCACTGTCAGGATGGATGGTTGGAGGATTCTTTTTCCCGTTGTAACGGGTCGAGTGGTGGAGGGAGGAGCGCGTCGGTGAGACGACAGGCGATATACGAGTAAACGAGGAGGCCAGATATAACATAAGAAAAAGTAACAATTTATTAAACCAAGTAATACAACGTATAGTTCGCGTCCCTAAAACGCGGGGAGACCGAGAGAGAGCTTACAATAATTGGTTCCATACCTCTTGATCTGTTATCCACGCTACTCTTTGAATTAGGAAAATTTCTCTTCTAGGAAAGTTCACTGATGTAGGAAAGGTCACTGTTTAACTATTTGAATCCTGGATTTAGGGAAGTTCACTAGACAAAAAGGACACTATTTGAAATTGGTCTTCTTCCGGCACCTGCTCTGGTACGACTCCCCCGAGAAGGGGAAGGAAGGGGTTTTTATAAGTTCGGCGTGGGAGAATGGTCACGTGATTGATTGTTGTGAGGTAAAAGGTATGTAGATGGGTCAGAGTTGTTCCCGGGACCATGCTAACTATCAACTTTGGCGTTGGAATGTGGGATTAGTTTCGAATTGAACGGATGTTTATGTCGAATGTAAACGAAAAGTTTTTTTTTTCGTTAGGTTTCACTTTAGGGTAAAGGAATATTTAATTAGATTTTAAGCACATACGGGACAATTAATCGACAAATAGTCGGCAAAATAATCGGTAGAAATTCCGAATCTCACATTTTTATCAGATTAGTTTACAATCTTTTTAATCTGAATAAGAAAAATTTACTTAAAAAGAGTTAGCTTTTTTCTAATTTTAATTAATATCAGTGAATATTAATTTTATAATGTTATAATAGTAACCCTTGCAACATATGTTAATTAAGACAGTAAAGCAGAGTATTGTGAGAAATAATGTTTTATATATTGTAAAATGTTTGGAGTATCTTTAAATAAAATTTTAAAATATTTATGTAATAAATTATTTAATTTTTCAATTTTACCAACTATTTTCTAATGTTTTATAATTAAATTTTATTTTAATACCTTTGAATACGTAATAGAAATAGGTTTTAAAAAATCTGATTGTTGGTTTATCGGCATTACAACGGTTTTTTCGGGGTTATAACAATCGAAGTTCATTATTCCACTCGATTGATAGGTGAATAGTTCTTCCTATTTAAAACAGTTTAGTGAAGATTTTTTTTTTCTTTAAAGAAATGTTCGAAAGAAAAAGAATTCTGTATTTATTTACCATTCTCCATTCCGGGTGGATGCCGTGAACTCCTACCGACGCAAAATATCGCGCGAATCCTTCATTCAGCCACAAATCGTCCCACCATTTAGGAGTTACTAAATTGCCGAACCACTGTATATACATATATAAGACTTATACACAACGTTTTATATTGACAGTCAAATCTCGATACGCGCCTTCCCAAACAGCACCCCCTCATTAAGAGCCAATGAATATTTGTGAACGAATCTGCGAATTATAGTACCAAATGAAATTCAAATTTTTCTGTACATCTCAATATTAAACATAAATGTTATTGTTTGGAGCACTTTAAAACCATACTCGATGAGAATTTTGCAGGCGTGTAAACGGTATTGCTAAATCGAAGTTTGACTGTACGAGATTTCAAAAATATTATTTTTAAAGTTTTTCTCACTACTGAAGTCTAAATGTATTTGATAAAGATTTGCTTTGGAATTTGAACAATGCTTCAATGTTCAAACTATATATGCAATGAAAAATTGTGTTCAAAGTATAAATGCAAATTGTTTGCACCCAAGTCATTTCTTGCTTTTGCTCTTGCATTATTGTAATATGTTTTCAGTGTTTTTTGCTTTATTTTTGGTATGTATGGTTATATATCTCACATTAGCAGTAATGTGTTAAGTTTTATAACTGTTAATATTAAATGACACATCTATGTTAAGTAACTGCAGCTGTTAAAAATAAGCAAAAATTTTTTTTTAACCCAATATAACCTTAACTTATTAAAATCTAAGAGGAGGGTTGTAATATCCATGGTTGAGATGACAAAGGAACTTATCATGAAAACATGAAAGTAGTACATGTGACAGATCTGGCAGTCATGTTTAAGATGCTTTATTTCAGTTAACTTTATTATTATTATTTTCATATTCTGGCACTATACATTTAATTTTTCTTGTCTATTTTTTCATATTGCTTTTTACAATGTGTGATTTCTGTTAATTTTTCTCTTGGAAAAGTCTTTCTGAAAGTATTTTATATTTAAAATTATGTATTAATACATTACATAAGCATGTTATTGGTTGTTCAGAAAGTAAGTTCGTTTTTTTCCGTGGGGGGGAAAAAACAATATTTTATTGAATTATATATCAACCATTTTGGTCAAATACCTGTTGTCATCGTTTCTGGTAGTAGCACGATTTCACATTCATAAAAGTTTTGATCGTTGCTTACAAAAAACCGATCCAAGTGATTTTTGACATTGTCATTTCAAGTAAATGTCTTACAGTTAAAAAAAATTTGTATAGACCGGAACAAGTAATAATCAGTGTGTGCTCGATCTGGCGAATATGGTTGGCGTGATAGCACCTCCCATCTAAGTTATAACAGTTTATGACGAGTTACCAAACTTGTGTGAAATTTGACATTATCGGTACCTGTTTTGTTGATCAGTTCTGGCCTTTCCTGTTTGATGATATTAATTTGTTTACTCGATGGCAGTACACTTTTGAATCAATTGTTAAATTGTCTGGTAAAAGCTCCAAAAACAAAATTTCCTTAAAATCCCACCAAAGAGTGCATCTCTCTTTAAGAACATGTGGAACCCATATATCGAGCTTTGAAACAAAATCAATTTGTTTCAAGTAATCATAAGCAGTTTGATTTGACAGATTTAATCTCTTAGTGATTTCACGTGTTGTTATTCTGCAGTTTGCTTCAATCGATACCTTTATTTTGTTTTCATTGGCTTCAACTGGCTGTCCAGAACGTGGTGCATCTTCAATATTGAAATTGCCAGAACAAAATTTTGTAAACCAGTTTTGGCACTGTCTTTCTCTTAACACATCATCTCCATACATGTACCACAATTTTTTTCTTGCTTGAACAGCATTTTGATTTTTTGGTAATAAAAAAGCAAAATATGCCAAAAATGATGCTTTCGATCTTCCGTATTTGATGGGATGCAAAAAATAAACAATTGCACAAAATCAAACAAAATTTTTTACAAATAAGCCTTAAAATGCTAGCTGTCAAAATATACAATGATAATACGGTTTAGAATAAAAATGACAGGAAAAATACGACTAATCCATCTAGTGGTAAAAAAAACAAACTTGCTTTCCGAACAACCTAATATATTGTTATATATTATTTTTGAACATTTTTTTTATTCTTTAAGAATAAAAATAAAAATTACTTTTTAGTTAATTTCAATTTTATTACTTTCTATTAATATTAATTCACCAATGTTTGTTTCTTTTCAGTAATATTAGCATAAAGTTAAAAATTTTATATCCTGTTTCAGATTCTTTTTGACTTATTAAATATACTACATACTAAGGATGCACTGATAAGCACTGATTAATTGGCCATGCATTATTGGCTGATTAGTGTTAATAGTTAGATAATATTATGATTATTATCACATGAAATTATATATTCTTAATAAAAATATAAAATTTCATATGATAAAACTAATTTTATAACAATTTGTTATAAAAATAATTTTTAATATGCAGCTATTTTTTTCTTTTTCAAATTCATGTATTAAATTAAAATAATAAATTATTATTTTGAAAAACTTTTTAATTTTAATTATTAGCCAAATCCAAACTACTCATAACTTCCGGTATTGCTTTGAAATTTTTTAAGAAAGATGAAAACGGGATTTTCAAGTAGTTTGTGCTGGGCTTCTATGTTGAGAGGTGGAAAAAATGCTAAAACTTTTACCACCACAAACATGATAAATCATCTCAAAAAATGTCATTATGAAAACTTTTTAAAAGAAACTGGAAAAATGAAAATAGAAAGTTCCGAAACTAAAGAATCTGGATGTTCATCAGTAACAACAGAAACTCATATCCAAAGACAAGCTACTTTAACTCAATTAATAGAGAAGAAAAACTTGTGGGATATAAATGATCAATGATCTAAAGAAGTTCATTATTTGATTGGAGAAATGATAAGTGTAGATATATAGCCATACTCTATTGTGTCTGATTTAAAATTTCAAATATTACTAAAAAAGTCATTCCTAATTACAATATTCCCAGCAGAAAATATTTTTCTGAAAATATAATCCCTGATATATTTCAAAAAGTTCATTCAAAAATTCAGAAATCTATTGATGATGCAAAATATATTTCTTTAACCACTGATATTTGGACAGCAACTACAAACAATTCTCCTTTTTTAAATGTAACAGCTCACAGGTTGAAGAATGATTTTCAGCAAGAAAGAGCTGTTTTGCGAATTTTTTCCTCTGAAAGTTCCCACAAAGCTACATGAATCAGTGAACAGGTAAACTTTGTTTTTGAACAGTATAAGTTGACAAGTGATAAGATATTTTTAGTTTTTTTGAATAGTTTGGAGCAAATATGGGAGCTGGAATCATGAATTGCAACTTAGAGGCATTACCATGCTTTATACATACACTGCAGCTGACACTAAACAAATGTATATTTTCTCAACACGATGTGAAAACTATAATCACAGTTAATAGAAATATTGTCACACATTTAATCATTCTGCTGTAGCAGAAAGCAAATTGAAAGATTTGCAAGACAAGTCAAGTTTGCAGAAACACAAATTAATTCAAGATGTTCCTACATACTACATTTTGCAAAGAAACTTGGAACAGCAAAAAGCCTATGTCATATATGCTATAGATAATACAGTCGACCCCCGTATAAGATCATTGATTATTCCGTTTTATATGAATTCCATGTTGTACGAGTCACTTAGATTTTACAAATACGTGTACCGGGCTGTGAATGGCTCACGTATTTGTAAAATTTAAGTGACTTGTACAACATGGAATTCATATAAAACGGAATAATCAATCATCTTATACGGGGGTCGACTGTATAATTCTTACATTGGTTTTGCATTGAAAAAATTGTTGAACTTTTAAAACCATTTGAAGAAATTACTGTGGAAGCCAGCAAACAAGAAACCACCTCTTCAATAATTCTCACAACTGAGACTGTGAAATTATTCTTATCAAAGAGCAGTAGTTCTTGGAACTACTGCTCCAGTAAAAAAGAACCAGGTTATTATTTAATATATTTTTTNACTAATAATGGATTTTTTCATACTTTTCGGTTATCCGACTTTTCAATTATCCGACCAACCCCAGTCCCCAATTAGGGCGGATAATCGAGGTTCTACTGTATCTTGAAATTTAATTTAAGTAAAATACATTCTTTTTTTTAGGTATTGGGGAATTACAGTTAATGGTGCAGTCTCCACCTCCATCATCTAATAATGAAAATTACTTCAGCCCAATTAGTCCAATAGCACAAACTTCCCCCTTACCTTTATCATCAAATATTTCGCAACAAGGAAAAAGTGACGGTGAAAAAAATATCCTCGAAATTCTTCAAAATGCCAATATAAATATAGATCCACTTTTAAATGGGGATGATTACAAAAAAGAACCAGGTTATTATTTAATATATTTTTTTAAAGTATTTATGAATTTTTATGTATTGATACTATTGCTATTAAAATTATTTACTAATTCAAAATAATAATAATAATACCATGATAGAAGGACTAGAAAATTCAATAAAAAAAAAAAAAAAATGATTTTCAGCATATGTAGAAAACAAGTCTGTATGCTTGACATCTTTATTAGATCTAAGATTCAAAATGAAATTTCAAAAAAGGATATGATAGAGGAAATAAAAAGATAGACAATTGATAGTTTAAAAGATATAATTCAAAATCTCAAGAAGAATTAAATTCTGAAGCTTCTACTTCTGGAGATGATTAAGATGGAAAAGAATCTCTAAGTTTTTCTAATTTTTTTGATGAATTAGCTTCTGGTAAACAAAAGAACGAAGAAGAGCATGTTTTTAAAAAGAAAGAAAAAACGAAACAAACGAACAAATGTTTCGATTAAGAATTAGAAAAATATTTGCATGTATCCATACAAAGACATGGTGACCAATTTTTGTGGTAAAATTCAAAAGAACTTTTCCTAATTTAAGCAAAATAGCTATGAAATATCTAAGTGCCCCAGCATCTTCCATTGAAAGTAAAAATTTTCAACATTGGAGGTAACATTTATGAGCCGGCAAGAAGTAGGCTATGCCTTGAAAATGGTGAAATTCTCATGTTTTTGCCTTACAATTTAAAGGTTTTATAGTTTGAATATTAAATTTTTTCGTTTAAAGTTTAAATAAAAGATAGTTTTAAATAGGTTGTATTATACCTTTATAATATGTATTGATAAAAGAAATAATTTGAATTGAAAAATTTTTTTTAATTTTCAAGTTTGTCATGTAATAAATAATAAATATATAACAGAAATCTATTATTTTTTATTACTAGCCTTATATGTAACATTCTAATAAAAAATATTAAAATGCAAAATTGGCCAATTATCTAAACCTGGGATATGGCCGATTACCAATTACTTACCGATTAATCAGTGCATCCTTACTACATACATTAAAACTAAAACTATGCCAGCAATTTAAACTATTGTACTGTGAGAAAATAATGATTAAAATGATTAACTTTTAAAGTACTGATGAATATTAATGATAACTATAACCTCTGATCACAATAAACAAAGTTTTACAAGTGTATTTTAACTTGTGTTTTGGGACATGCTAATTCTTACTGTATAATAGTAGACAACTATTTACAATAAATGGATTGCACTATATAAGATCTTTCTGCATAATGTAATTTTCACATTGTAACATAGACTCTTTTCTGAATTCTAGAATGGCACACCTCCTGATAGATCTGGACAAGAGATTGGAAGCAGTCGTTTCAGTCAGTGGTTTAAAAGAGATAGTCCAGTTCAATTACAAGGATCTAATAATGATAGTCGCAGATCTTCCTTGCAAGATGAACTTGTAGCTCATGTATTAAATGGTAATACTGTCACTTTCTTTTTTAATATTGTTATATGAATTTTAATTAAGAACACTGAGTTTTAAACATAATGAATATATGCTGAAATTAATTAAACTTGTACAGTAGAACCTTGATTATCTGCTTCCCGATCAACTGACCCCTCGGTTAACCGACCGTCCTAGTCGGCAAATTTCAAATGCCCGCTAGTGATGTGGCGCTACAATAGCGACAATTATTATTTTAAAAAATTTTTGTTAGGCTTAACATCGATGAAAATTCAACGCAAAATAGGTTAATAGCGATATACTAATATACTAATTACATGGGATATAATAATATACTACACTAATAATGGATTTTTTCATACTTTTCGGTTATCCGACTTTTCAATTATCCGACCAACCCCAGTCCCCAATTAGGGCGGATAATCGAGGTTCTACTGTATCTTGAAATTTAATTTAAGTAAAATACATTCTTTTTTTTAGGTATTGGGGAATTACAGTTAATGGTGCAGTCTCCACCTCCATCATCTAATAATGAAAATTACTTCAGCCCAATTAGTCCAATAGCACAAACTTCCCCCTTACCTTTATCATCAAATATTTCGCAACAAGGAAAAAGTGACGGTGAAAAAAATATCCTCGAAATTCTTCAAAATGCCAATATAAATATAGATCCACTTTTAAATGGGGATGATTACAAAAAAGAACCAGGTTATTATTTAATATATTTTTTTAAAGTATTTATGAATTTTTATGTATTGATATTATTGCTATTAAAATTATTTATAATCCATTTGTAGTTACATTGGAAGGTAAAGTGAAAAGTGTGGAAGAATTAGAAGCTGATTTGAAACAACTTGTTTTGGGTAATAACAAATCTGAAGAAGATAAAACAGCATTTAACAAATTGGTAAATTTATTTTCAAATTTACTGAAAATTGCTTGTTTTAGCATAAGTTTTTCAAAATAATGAATAATAGAACTAATTTAATAATTTAAAATTTTTAAGTCCTCAATTCTTAAACTTATTACAAATGAGAAAAATCTATTAAAAGAAAGTATAAATTTAAAAATATTTTTATAGTGATTGATGTGAATCACTTTTGTTTCTGTTTTGTTTGTCCTTAAAGTAACATTTTGATTATTTTCAAAACAGTGAGAAATTATTTTATAGTGACATTGTCACAATGCTAGGCTGCAATTTTTAATTTATTTAATTTAAAATATATGTTCTCTACCTCAAATTAATAGTGTCTTGCCCCTGAACATCATACTTTTCCTGTTAGCAATGGTGTCATGTTTGTCATCTAACTAGCTCCTTTCAGGGGAAAATTTTTGAATTGAAATAATGTGACTTTGAGTGCAAATTGGAAGTTTATATATAGTTAATCAGGGCCTCCTGACACTAAGCTCTCCTTATCTGATCTTGATTTTCATTTATCTAACTCCATTCTCAAGATTAAGGAAGGANACTAGCTCCTTTCGGGGGAAAATTTTTGAATTGAAATAATGTGACTTTGAGTGCAAATTGGAAGTTTATATATAGTTAATCAGGGCCTCCTGACACTAAGCTCTCCTTATCTGATCTTGATTTTCATTTATCTAACTCCATTCTCAAGATTAAGGAAGGACAGATGACAATGGGAATTTATAGGTCTACAATTTTTTCAAATTGCAGCTTAACCATAGAAAATATTTTCTGTTATTTATATCTATGACAATTTTTATTTCATAATTTTGTGGTATGCTGTTTAATTTTTTTTATCCAGTATTACAGTATTGTAGTCTGATGATGATTATACTTAATAAACATCTTCTTTTACATTAATTTTAATTTTAAAAACTCAAAATATAGTTTATAAAATTAGACTTGGCTTAGAGAATCCAATTATCTTTTCCATTCTTTAATTTAATCCTTTTCAAAATAATATATTTTTATTCATTAGTAGAAAATTCTTGTATTCTGAATAATATTTTCTGCAAAAATTAGACCCTTTCAAATAAATTTTTAATATCAATTATAAACCCTATTTATAGGTTAGTCATGGGAAATTCTTGATCATAAACAAGAAGAGCAAAGGATTGAAATTTGTCGGATTAATTTGTGTGTGTTTAAAAGAAAGGAATCTTCAGTATTATTTTGACTTCAATACATTTATATTGAATAATTATTATATTAAATATTTACAATGTAAATATTGTCATCATCATTATTACTACTGTATGTCTCCAGCATAAAATTAAAATGATGATATTTACAATTATTTTTTTCTGATTATGTTGAAGAAAAATGGTTTTTCTTAGATAATCAGAGATACTGAATTGTAAAAGGTCCATATGGAGTTAGTTACATAATTTTACTTTTAATTTGATACTAGAATTATTATAAATACTTTTGACTGTATATTGTAATGCAAAATATTTCTAATACTTTAAAATAGATACTTCAAGTACACAAAGCTACACCAATGAATTATATAATAAATATCAATTTAATTTGTACAAAAAGTAACTACTTATGGAAATTTTTCTCATATTTTCCTTTCATGATAGTGTTTTAGGAGAGAGAACATATTGTTAAATTTAAATACAATTTCTTTTAATGTTTGCTCAAAAGTAAAAAAAAAAAATTAATTAGTTTGGGCAAAATTTAGAAAGCTTTTTCTTAAAAGTTGTCAGTTAAATTAAATTAATATTCATTACACAAGAATATATTTGTGTTTTAATATAAATTATGCTGCTGTTTAAAATTTTTTTCCCTGTGTTTTGTAATTTCAGTTTAGGCATATATCTGAAAATCCTCCCTCACCTCCTTCAACAATAACAATGGGGCCATTGGACAAATCAAAAGTGTTACAGGAAGAAGACCTTTTACAAAATTTTCTTGGTAGAGTTTCCCCTACATCTTCATTACATTTGCAACAGACTGAATCTGATCTGACAATGCCCATGCGATGTCCACCATCTCTACCTATGTCTCTTCATAACTCCAATTTATTAAATTTTTTACAAGACAATGATAAATCATCACAGTTACCCACTAAAGATTCTTTTGCAGGTAATTTTAAAAATTTATTGCAGTTACATTTGTAAAATTTCATGACCACTAATAATAATATATAAATATTCATGATATGATCATTATAGAAATGCATTTATGAAAACTATAATAAAACAGATAAGTAACTGAGAATGAAAAGTATCTAAAAATTAATTATAAATTGTGTTAGAGAGTCTGAAAGTTACTATTCTTTTTTAACTTTATATTTATAAAATATTAAAATAAGACTTCAGCACTTACAGAAGTCATTATAAAGACTTCTATAAGTGCTGAAGTCTTATTTTAATATTTTATAAATTAAGACAAATTATTATGTATAAATATAGATGTATAAAATGCATGTTATTGCAATAGACATAGAATGGCAGAAATACTGTCTTAAATTTGAATTTTAACAACTTAAATTTTTTTTAACTTAAATTTATTTATATGGTTTAATTATTTTCATTAATTTTACACAAATTAATGAAAATAATTAAACCATATAAATAAATAAAATATATATGCTTTAAGGTAATTTTTATACTTAAATTAATATATTTAAATATAAAAGTAATTACTTTTTATGTATTAATCATGATAATTTTAAAGTAAGTTAAATAATAATTTAATCTAATATATTAAAATGCTTTAAATATGCAAAACATTATAAATTATAGAAGCTATGGGTACTATCCTTTTGTGGTCAAATTTTTCTATAATATATTTTGGAATAAGCTCGTCAATATGTTAAAATATCTAATAATATGTTCTTAAACTAAAATTTTCCTGTGTCCAAAGGAAAACTGTGGTAATACAGTAGAGCAGGGCTTCTTAAACTTTTTTTATTCACGACCCCATTTATGATTGTGATTTTTTTCACGACCCCAAAAAGTATAAAATAAAGATTTATACAAATTTGCAAAAACAATAATGGTGTACTACCACAGTTTACTCTTGTGTTACAATGGAACAGAGACAACTGAATACACTGAAAAGAGAACAGTACACTAGTTCACACTACAATCAGTGTTGCAGAATCGTTGTCTTGCTGCACCAGAAGTGACACAATGAGTGCCATTTTCAATATTTTGCATTAAAATCTCGCGACCCCAAGATTTCGCTAAGCGACCCCAAATGGGGTCCCGACCCATAGTTTAAGAAGCCCTGCAGTAGAGCATCGATTATCTGACTCAATTGGGGCCTCGGGTTGGTCGAATAACCGAAAAGAATGAAAAATTACATTATTAGTATAGTATACCGTGTTTCCCCGAAAATAAGACAGTGTCTTATATTAATTTTTGCTCTGAAAAATGCGCTAGGTCTTATTTTCAGGGAATGTCTTATTTTTTCCAGGAAGAAGAATTCACATTTATTATTGAACAAAAAAATTCCCAAGTCGAACTTAGACGAGAGTGACGTATATCCGGTGTGTCGAACTGTCGCCTTTTTATAGCGTCAACATCGGACTCGATGACCAATTAGTGCTTACTGAACCGTAGCACTATGCAAATGTCATGTGGCGTGATTCCCGGCCGACCAATTAGCCATCACCAGCCGTAACGTTATGCAAATCTGTGATTCCCAAGCCATAGTCTTATGCAAATCATGCCGTGTGGCGTAATTGTCTGCTGACCAATCAGTGGCTGTACTTTCAAAAAGCCAACGGCCACTTTTAACCATCTGTCGATGACCATTACGACTAAAAAAAACTTCGATAGGTCTTACTTTCAGGGGGAGGTCTTATATTTCGCAATTCAGCAAAATCTGTGCTAGGTCTTATTTTCTGCGGATGTCTTATTTTCGGGGAAACACGGTATTAGTATATCCCATGTAATTAGTATATTGTTAACCTACTTCACGTTGAATTTTTATCGATGTTAAGCCTAACACATTTTTTTTTAAAATAATAATCGTCGCTATTGTATCGTTAAAAATTATTTTATTGATCACAAAACAAACAACCACTCATAAAAGCCTCATTTAAATACTGGCCTCCCTTCAATGGTCGAGCCAGTGTTGCCAGCTAAAACACGCAAAAATTTAACAAAAATAATATTAAAGTAGCCAAGACATAGCCAAATACTGTAGTGCCACATAACTAACGGACATTAGAAATTTGCTGACTAGAACAGTCGGTTAACCAATGTGATGGTTAATCAGGGGTCGGATAATCGATGCTCTACTGTATCTTGTAGATTTTCATTAGAAAAGTATATACAAAATATTTAGTACAGTAGACCCCCCTATAATGCTTAGATACGTTCCACGTCAATCGAATTTTACATTGTAGGAATCATTAAATACATGAGCCAATCGCAGCCCGACAGGTGTGACGTTTATGGACTAAGGCTGTTTGAAAGGTTTTCTTCTATAAAATTAACCGATTCTAGACTAATTCCACTCAACATTTTCATTTTTTAGGAATAATCTGTATAAACTATGCTATAAACAAAAAATTGTAGGATTACTTACCGAGTGTGCATCGTTCGACTACGCCGTTGCTCAAGCTTGTTTTTGTCACGAAACAGCGCACGAAACGGCGGCCACGATTTCTGATAATGAATTTTTCGCAAAAAATAACTTGACCTTTGGAGACATCATTAATATAAATAATTTTTATGGCCGTTGAATAAGAAGTGTTTCTTTCACAAGAAATGTATAAAATTAGTGCTGTATTAGACTTACAGTACCTAATTTACATACTGTACAGATGATAACAAACTCAACTTACTAGCCTAAACTCTCCGTAGCGTGGTGCTAGACGGCGGAAATTATATATATAATTATAATAAAGTTACAATAAATTAAGTTAATATATAATTATATATACAGTACCTAATTTATATATAAAAATATATATAATTATATGTACAGTACCTAATTTATATATAATACTGTACAGACGATAGCAAACTCAATTTAGCCGCCTAAACTCTCCGTAGCGTGGTGCAGGGCGGAGGAAAGTAGTTCTGCTGCTCATCCACTATTGGTCCAGATTCTATCAATCTTGTCGCGACACAAGTCGGTGACGACGTTTTAGGAGTTCTTTCATACGAATATTGCTACAATTTTTTCGCTATGTTACAGGAATTTCTGTTATAGGAACCCACGTTATGGGGGGTCGACTGTATAATCTTTTATGCAAATACTCATTCTTAAGTATACTGTGTTGATGTATTTAACTATTATCTATTTAAATGGTTAAATACAACACATCTTGATAACATTTGAAGTTTTACATCGCATTAATTTTCTCTTACTAATAACATGGATAACATTATTGGACTAGCTGTAAATAGTAAAGTTATTTATTTAAATAAAAATTATTATTACTTTATTGTCTAATTTTATTAATTATTAACTATTAAATATGATAATTTATTGTTAATGCTACTAAACAGATTAATTATTAATTCTGAAATAACTGTTTAGAGAAATAACACATACCCAACTTTTATGTAGGATACGGCAGACAACAACAAGATCTTCCATCTTTATTTAATTTGCGTCAACAGCAACAGCAACAACATGCAGCCCATAATCAGAATTTTAGAATTGATGTACTAGCCAAACTATTAGGAAATCAAAACTCTGCTACTCAAAGACCCAATGTAATAAGTCCAAATTCACTATCTGTTAATAACCAATGTCATAATACAAATACTAACTTCAATAATAGAAATGATCAACAGACAATGAATGGTAAATTTCATTATTAGTATTAGTAGAAAAGTAAGATATGATTAAAAGAAATTTTAAAAAATGTTTTATTTATTTTAAAGCTTTGATGCATCAACAACAGAGAGAGATATTGGCATTTTTAATGAAGCAACAACAGCAGCAGCAACAGCAACAGCAGCAGCAACAACATCAGTCTAATTCATTAATGTCCCAAGTACCTATAATTCAACAAAGGCCTGCATCATCTCAAGAAGTAACTATGACTCAAACTTTGGGAATTCCTTCTTCGAATAATGTCTTGAGTCCATGTCAGTCACCACTTCCCCAAGATAATGTTGGACCCAGTGTTGGAGGCCAAGGTCGCATTCCTTCTCCATTAGGTGAAATTAATATTCAATACATAATTCTGTATGCAAAATTTTAATTATGTAGATGACATTCATATCTTTAAGAAGTCTTAACATAATTTTATATTTAATTTTTCAAATAATTAAACACTTTAAAAATGTGATATGCTTCATAAATATATAAAAATATAATGTATGTTGTTAATTCCATACTTTTAGTATTGACTTTTTACTGATGAAAATAAATATTTTAACAGTATCATAATTTTAAAAAATTGTTATATTTAATAGTATTTGGACAGCAACCTCCAGCTTTAAGTCATGCACCAGCTCCTATCCATCCTGCTCAGTTAGCACAAGCGTTGGCAAGAAATGCAAATTCAAACTCAAACAATCTTCAAGTTCAGGTAGACTACATTTAAAATTATTTTTGGTTAGAGTTTTAGAAAAACATAGATATTGCATGTATTTATCTCAAAAACTTTTACTGTTATAGGGCTTTCTGAATTAAAAAGAATCAAATAAATCTTATTTATTTGATTATAAGATACACTTTGATTTTGAAATAAATTTTAATATTTTTTTATGGAAGAAAAAATTTATATTATATAAATAAGTCTTATTAAACAACAGCAAGTCAGAACAACAATGCAAATGCTATGAAATAGGTGACATTTAGCAGTTCTATTTCCATTTTCTTCTGCGTATACAGTAACTTTTAATACTGCAACATATCATCTTAAAGGCATTTCAAACATCTAGGAGTTTAAATCAAATGCTTATTACCAGCATTTTAAGTGATTTCAGCATTGCTGCATATTCTATAGTGCTGAAATTATGTATTGATATTATTGTTGCATAATACATCATGTGGGGAGTATTCACAGTGACTGCTGATTGTTTTGACCAGTGAATGTGAGATGCTGTGGATTGTAAGACACTTGTCCATTTTAGACAAGTAAAAAATAGATTTAAAAAGTGGCGATCCTAGATTCAAGCTAATATTAAAAGGCATTAAAAATTTTCAATATTTCAGTTGATAATTTTCTTATAATTAAAGAACATTGTCTTTGTTTTAACTGTGTGTTACCATAGGTTTATTGATTAGGAAAAATCTTCAGATTCAATATCATCTAGTAGGAGCTAAATTCCTATCCAAATTGTATCAACATGTAGAATTATTTTCTATCTTTATTATTCTGTGAAAATGATTAATTGGATATTGCATTATTACTTAATCTATTCCATGTTGAAATTTTTTTCCATTGCATGTTACACCATGTTGAATTTTTGTCAATGTTAAGCTTAACGAAGATTCCACATTTTAGAAAAAAAAATTGTGGCTATTGTATCATCCAAAGTTATTTTTTTATCAATATATTTTTTATCAGAGGGATAAATAGACAAGAAAAACACACCTTTAAAAATCCAGCAAATAAATTTACTAACAAAAATGTTTTTGATCAGTTTAACGGATCTGTAGTTATTTATTTATTATTCACAACTATGATTTCAGTTATGTATTTATTTTAGAATTATGATTTANATTGTACCTGAATGTCCTGATGTTGTGCGCAAGCTGCCAACATCATGCTATCAAGATTTTTATCAATTGTATAGAGCCATTATTGTAAGTTGCACATGGTGGAACCCACATAAACCAGTTTTGATTTGAAATGTTGGTCAATTATTGGGATGGAGTAAATCCCTGCAGCCAAATTATGGTTATATGGTTTTTTTTTATCATTCCTTAAAATTTTGAATATCATTGGATTGTATTGATATACAACTTGGAGATTATTAGTTCTGGCTACTTTCCTATGCCTTAAAAAGGGGAAATAATTCAAAACCACTCTTCGTTTCTGGATCCCCGATGTATTCTGATGTTTTGTTTGAAACATTGTGATCAACCTCCAAATCATTTCTATTGGATAACCTTGTTGTTCTGCAATCTTTAAGATGTAATTCAGCTCTGATATGGTGTCACTTATGCTGATAACGTGTATATGCCCTTCTTATCGAGGATCTGAAGGCTGCCAATCTGATGTGGAGAGGATCCACAGAGTGATGTGGAATTAAAATGGGTTGAAAACAAGGTTTCCTGTATACCTTGGTCCAAATTTCGCCATATTTGTAAGAGACAGAAATGTCCAAAAAGTTTACAGATGTTTCACTCTCCTGATCTAATTGTAGGAATAATCCATAGGGGTTATCATTGATCTCCTTTAAAAATTGCTGTAGGTTTGGTTTTCTCTGCCACAAGATATCATCAACATATCTAGCGTATAATCAACCATAGAGACTCCAACAACTTAGCTATAGCATGGTAGTCTTTTTATAAAGTTAATTTTATTAAAGGACATTTATTTGCCTGTTTTTACTTTTTATTGTTTACCAGCAGATGAGCACAGTGTTGCCCTGGCAAAAAACAACAACAAAGATCAAGATTATTAGATTATTTCATACTTCCAATCCTTCTATTCTAGTAGCCCGAGACGCCCCTCATGGGTGTTCTAGCAGGACTGGTGTCATTCCATGGTATAAATAATAAATTCCTATTATAAATATTCTGAATTTCTCATGGCGTACCCTACTAAAACGCAGCCAAAAATGCAAAAAATACTGCATGAAATAATAATATACTGAATTTATTGTTAATTTAAATAATAGCTAGGGGCCTCCCTAGTGGCCATTTTTGGCATACAGTGACAGAAAGAAAGAATCTGGTTTTTCAGCTTTATATATATAGATTTTCTTTCTGTAGTTATTTATTTATTATTCACAACTATGATTTCAGTTATGTATTTATTTTGGAATTATGATTTATCATTTATTTTTAAATTTATGTTCTATTTTCACATTCTATCTCATCGTAACTGAGAAGGATCGGTTAAACCAATTGAAAATGTTTTTATTAGTAAATTTGCTGAATTTTTAAAGGTGTGTTTTACTTAATATTTTTTTATTTTTCACAAACAAAATAGCCATATTAATAAACGTAAAAACAAAAAAATTATATTTTGGAAGTTAGTTTTAATATAAAAATTATGCTGACTAATGACATCTAGTGTCAAAAGCGTCCCGATGCAGAAACGAGATATATCAGGTTCACAGGTCAAGGTCATCATGTTTAAACCCAAGATATGTCGAGAATACCAGGGAATAGGTTAATGCATATTGGCTTCTTACGATTATTACTAATATAAATTTATTATAAACTTATTACTTATTTTTAATCTTTAAAATTAGTATTAAGAAATTACATAATTTTTTTTTTATGTACAATTGTTTGAAAAATCTTTTAAACTTATTTCGAACTACATTGTAAGCACTTATAATTGCTGAGCTATGTTTTTATTATCTTGAACATTACATTAAAAAATATTATCATACAATTACATTTTACTTCATACAGAGACAATCCATAAACAAAGAAGATACCCTTATTTTCTGAAACTTTTAATTCACAGTATCCATATGATACAAACGTTAAATTTACATATTAACTTGTCAGCACGCCTAGTGCTGATTAGGCACCAATCGATTTTTAATTAGTGTAAAAATTCTAATTGTTTGAAAAATATGAAAAAATTATTACCTGTTTTAATTTTTTTTCAATTTTATGATCCACAATTCAATTTTTGCTTAAAATGTTTTATTATTTTTATTTAATTATTGGTGTCAAATCGGCACTATGGTGCGCTTGATCTTGGATTTCAATTTTCAAATTTTCCGTCAGTTGATGTTACTAAAAATAGCTGCAGCAGTGGCGTGCGCGCACTTCTGTGCTTATAATCAAATTATTTTAATGCGAATAACTTCTAAAAAACTCAAATTTGACCTGGAAATAATTTAATTTTTCCATTGGTATTTTTAAATCATTTTATGAAATTATATGGCACCATGGCTCATATAATTTTTGTATTTTTTTTTTTTAAATTTTAATATTAAATTGTGAGCAACTGTAATATATAAATTAAAGCATTTTCGTTTATTAACTGCATCTGGGCACGTATGTATCCAGCAGATACATAGCGGTTTTTTATTGAATTTCTTAAAAATAAAACAATTGAAGTGTAGACTTTTTAGTATTTCTTATCTGATATGTTCTGAAGCGATTCCCACAATAGTTTTGAAGTTTGACTTTTTTTCAGAGAAATTTTACAAAAATCAATACCTTTTCACCACCTGCAGTAAATTCTCTCGCAGTGTGAGAGTGCTGTACTTACGCGATTGTTATGCGCAACAATTTAAAAGCGATTTAATAAAATAACTATGTAGAATATTTAACCTTTACCACAATGCTATACATTATATCTTTGTCTCCTGGTTTCAATGACAGGACCAATCCCAAAACATTTCAAATAAGTCATTGCAGCTTTTTTGATAATGCAATTTTCTTGCTTCCATGTTATTGCCCTGAGTTCAGTTTTATGATAAGAAATCTAATACTTTCTAATTTGCAACAGTTAAAATTTATGTTCATAATGAACGTTGCAATACCATTTAGTAATTGTGAACAAACATTTACTTGGTAATTTTATAAATCTTTCGTAAATTATTAAATATATAAAATTATAGAATTCATTACTGGCAATACTAGTTGTCAAATCTGAGACAAAACATTTCCCTTAATGCAACAAAACAATTTGTTAGTTGTTCACCCATTACTGACAAAGAAGAAAGTTTTTGAAAACAAAGTATTAAAAAAATTAGCAGTTTATTTATTGTACTACACAGTGGAGGACTGGCAGAGTCTATTACTTTCACAGGAGAAAATAAACAAAGCTTTACTACCTTGAATTTGAAAAATAATACGATCCTGTGAAAGATCAAATTTCAGAAAATATAAATAAAAATCTGGCTTTTTACCCATAAGTATTTTATACTTCTAGATAGTAGAGAAAATGTGGAAATTGAAAATATAATCGTAGTCCAGCATATATATCAGTAAAAATATAAAAATTGCATTAAAATAATACACTTTGTTGAACATCTCAAATGAAAAAGTAATTGAATCAAGTCCTGCCACCATATTGATTAACACGTGACTGATTCTGAGAGCATCATGTTGCATCAAATTAAATAACTTATAAAAATTAAAATAATAAACATGTATATAAAATAATTGGTTATATCTGTTTGCAATAATATTATAAAGCACACTGCACTTATAGTTTAGCATTTTCAATAATATTTAATTAATTTTTGAATTTTATTATATTTTATATATAAAAATGAATAAAAAAACAAATGCATAAAACTTAATAAAAAAAAATATCTAAAACTTCAGATAACACAAATATGAGAATTCATCAAAAAAAAGTTAGTTAATAATAATTAAAATTGAGGAAAAAAAACTTTCAAGGTAAGGAAATTTCTGTGGTAAAAAGTGAGGTAATTGATCACATGATGCCGATCTTTCCGTTTTCTGTAACCAAAGTGGACAAGGTTGAAATAAAAGCAAAAACATCAGTAAAAGTAAAAACAAACATTGGCTCATGTTTAGGACAATAAACTTGAACAGGAAACGACACTTTGTAATTTATGCTAATTACCTTCTAATATTAAAAATTTTAAATCTTCATTAAAATATAATGAAATTAAAATTTTTTGACTGAATTCAACTACAAACATATTATAGAACTGGATTAAAGTAAAAATATCCACTTTTCGACACTAAATTTTTATTAATTAATTTTTTAAATTGGTGCCGGATTGACCAAGGGTGTGGAATTTCTGTTTGACTGCGCACGCACGTGACGACGAGTTAAATCTAGTTGTCTCATCACTTGCTTTCTTTAAAACCTTAACCTAATTTCACACAGAATTGATGTGTTCTATCTTGGCCTGTGACCACATGATACCCAAACAATCTAAAAGTTCAACATGGGAAATGGATTTTCATGAATGTTGTCACTCTGCACAATTCTGCAGATTTCCGGAATGTTCAATGGGATTCATGTCAGTTGACTGACTTGCCCATGGAAGTCTTTCGGATGACTTCTGTTGCCAGCCAATTCTGGATCTTTTGGCGATGTGACAAGAAGCTCCATTCTCCATGAACAGAATGGATATTTTGTCCATCAGCCCACTGGAGAATATTGGAAGATGATCCTTCTCTGATAAAACAATGCATTTTTGGAGTTAATATTGCCCTTGCACATTCAGGATGTTTATTTACTTATGTTTTGTCTCTCTAAATATTATTATTATTATTATTAATGATTAGAATTTTAAAAATGTAATAGTTTCCTGTTTTTGTAATTAGGAATATTATCTTCTAAAATGATTCCTTGGATGAGGTTTAAATATTTCTTATAATTAGATGAATACATTAGATCTAAGATTGATAGTTTTTAGGAACACAGGAAATTATGGAAAATTTAATGATTAAATTACTTATAAACATAATTTTATTTGTCACACGTGTATTTTTATCTATTGAATGTGTGTTCTCTTTAAGAAATGTATTAAACAATTTTATATAGTGAGTAGAATTTACTTCGTAGGCTGTTTTTGAGAATACTGCTTATAACATCAAAAAACATTCATCTAAATTAGTATAATGGATTAAATATATTTATTGCTTATATTTTAGAACAAATTTATTTTTATTGCTCTTATCTGTGTACCAGAATAGGCTAAGGCAAATGTAAAAGTTCATTAAGATACTTTCATACTATATATCTGTTCTGAAGTTTATTTATGTAGATTTGCTCATTATTAACAATTTTAAGAGATTAATTTCAGTTAAAATTACTAGAATGGGAAAATGTTAAATGTTGCCCTTCCTGGCTATTTATGCAATTGAACTTGCCATTTTGAAAAGTTTTAAAAATTACTTTTCAAGTTTTGTTTATATTATTATATCAATTTTCAATGATTTTTTAAAATTTATGCTATTTATAAATTATTATTACTATTAAATTTTAGATTTGGAAGATAATTCCACTGATTAATATTTGGGAACAAAAATGTTATTTAACTTTTATTCAAATAAGCTTATGACTTAAACGGTAATATCTATTTAGAAAATAGATTTCTACATCCATTATCTGTTAAATACTTCAACATTAGTGGCATGTCCACCATTTACAGATTTTGTTAATACATTCCATTTTAGAAATAAAGCAAGTGAAGTTAATGATGACTACCATAATGGTAGTCATCATTAACTTCTATGCATAAGTAGCTAGAACTAATAAGGCTAGAAATTAGTGAGAAAGGTTTTGTGCTGATAATCATTAACTTCACTTGTTTCATCATTTCTATGAAGTTTAATAGTTTCATATGATAAATCCTCTTGATAAAGAGCTACATTGCTAATAACAATCCAATTTACACACAACTTTTCATTATTCATAGTGATTAGTATTAAAAAATAGATCATCAAGAATTGAAAGTGAAGGCCTTTGAATATACTTAATGCAAGAACTGATTCAAACTATTTAATTACTGCCTTTAGGCAATTTTATATGCATAGTAGTTTTTTTATTTATTCATAATTTCTTACGACAAACATTTTGTTGGGTATAATTAATATATAAAATATCTTTTCAGAAATATTTCTAAAAATTATCTTAGTTTTTTATTTATTTTTTTGTAGAATCCATTAGGTGTTTTGCCTCGTGTTCCCTCTCCACAGGAATTAGCAGTTCATACTCAATCCATTCTTCAACAGGCTTTAATAAAAAGGAAATTAGAGGAACAGAAGGAAAAATTTCGTAAACAAGAAGCACAAAGGTAATTAAGTTACATATCTCATTTACGATATAATACAAATCAAATATTTAATTATGTAATAAGTTTATGGCCTTTTATCTTCTTTTTAGATATACTAAATAAATTCTAAAAAAAGAAGAAACTGTAAACTAAAAACAAATTAAAAAGAGATATGAATAAAATTTCAAGCTATTCAGATTAGTTTAATTTTTTCATTTGAAATGGTTATATCTAGAACAAAAAGACTATATTTCAAAGAAAGTGAGATTTGGAAAGTACCACAGATACGTTACGATTTTCCAGTGGAAACATATTAATTGCTCTTCCTTCTTAAGGAAGGTTATTTTTACTTTCTTTTATAAAAAGGAAGTAAAAATAACTTATCTACACTAGGTGAATGTTTGAATAGTTAATTCGTTGGAAACATGTTGTAAATTAAAGTAGACCATCTCCAGCAATAGTCCATTGTTACTGTGATTACTGCTACAGAGAAATTCTTTGCAAACTCAGGCCAAATGTCTAATATCTCCATTTCAGTAAGTCTGTTGCATGGGGTCACTACATTTTTATTTTTATTTTTTTCAATTAGAGTAAAAATAATCAGAATAGTTTCTCATTTTCTCTTCTTTCTTGTTTACTAAAGCTCCTTCTTTTTTTATTTCTTCTCTATTTATACAAACAACTGATGATACCCCAGTACCCAGTCAGTTTAAGCAATGGTGCTTTCTTTTGAAGCTGCCCTTGTTGAAATTTGGATCATTGTTAAAGGATGATTCATCTCTTAACCCTGGGTTCGTGCAGTGGTGATTTTCAACACTCCAAACATTTTAAAAGTTGCACTATTCATAGATTTCGCAAGAAATATTTGTTTCCTCTTCAGTAGCTTCATGATTTTATGTATAGAGCATGCTCAGAAATTACTACAGTGTTGCAGAAACTCCAGTAAGAGAAAGACAACAATTTTCAGTGGGATGTCCAAACACCCCACAGTATTATTACGTTTTTTTTTTAAATTTTATAAATATTTATTTAGTTTTTTTTATTTTTAAAATAACTATAATGTGACCACACTTATTATTTATAATATAGATAAATTATTTTTATTTACATTTATTATTATAAGTTTATTTTAATTAGTTTTATTTTCTTACAAATTCAAAATGGCTGACTTTGATAAACACACTGATAAAAATACCAAACATAGCTAGCTGCTTGTCATTTGCATTGAGTGCCAAAGTACAATGTCAGCAAATGAATCAGAGTGACAAAAATGCTTGAAAAACAATTTAGATTTTTATTATTGGTTTTATAATAAGATCTAATGTAATGAGTTTTGATAAATTTTGTTTTTTATTTTAATGGATTTATGTACTAATGTAATATATAATCATATGTACAGTAGATCCCCCTATAAGACGGTATTAGATGAATACATTAGATCTAAGATTGATAGTTTTTAGGAACACAGGAAATTATGGAAAATTTAATGATTAAATTACTTATAAACATAATTTTATTTGTCACACGTGTAAAGCTTCACGGCAATCGGATAAACGGTGTGGTAATGCATGAAGGANTATTTATTTTTTTTTAAACAGAGATCGCTCTCCTAACATTAATTCTTCAGTCAAAACATCAAATTCAATGTCTCCTGCCAAGGTAATTTTGTAATATAATTTTAAATATTGATACTTCAATATTTGGCTAAGATCTAATATTTATTTTTAACAATCAAATATAATTACATGTCAGATATATATATTAATTCCTTTTTAATGATAAAACTGTAATCTCTTAAAATATAGCACATCAAATTCTATAAATTTTAGGATGTTATTGAACTTGTTTGCCGTACATAAAAACATTGTTATACTTTTTTTACATTTAAAAAAGTGAGAATGAAGTTAGTTTGTATTTATTTTCCAATAAAAGTTGATACATAAATTTTAAGAGAGTTATATTTACTGAGTTTATTATTTTGCTTATTTTAGATAATTTTGAATTTCTGTTCATTACATATAATCTTGTTAAATCAAATTACATTTTGAGTGGTTGTTTTATCAAATTAAAAATACAGTCAAACTTGGTTAATTCAAAATTCTAGGAAAATGCAAAATATTTCAAATTATTTAATATTTGAATTAAACAATTTTTCATTGATAATTATTAAGTAATGTCAATAAAATGTAATTAGTTTGGTGGCAAAAATGAAAAAACAGAGTGAATAACACATCAACATGACAGTTTCTGCCAAATTTTACCATTTCACAAATTATTTGGAATTGTCAAATCTTTTTGCTAGTGAAAAAAGTTTGTATAATTTTGGATATTTTGGATAATTAGAATTCCTTGAGTTTCCCAATAAATGTAATGTAAAAATTATTAGTTTAATTCAAAGCTGAAATATCCTCATATTTCAAAAATTACTAAACTCTGAAAATTAAAAGCTGGAGCAGCTTAGTTCACACTGGACAAATAGCAAAAATGAAAAATGAATGCAAAACTGGTTGAACTGCAAAAAGTAACTGAATTTTGAGCACTCAATCATCTACAAGCAAGAGAGAAATACCATTGGTAAAAACAAAACACTTCCAACATTCTGTTTTTAATCATTGCAAAGCAAAAGCAATTTCTCGACATGATCTAATGTATAATGTCTTCGATCTCTGTTTAGAAATTGATTTAACCCCTTTTGCAACGTTAGCAGATTTAATAATGTCTTTATTTTTCGCGATTGTCCATATTGTTGTTCTCCCAATACGGTAAACAACAGTTAAAATCTTGAACACGCGTGCCACCTTCATATTTCTCAACAATCTCTTTCATTAGTTCCATTGTAATTCTAGTCATATTTTTGGTTTTCTGTCGCTTTTCATTTGCCTTTTTGGGATTCGTGATTAATAAAAATAATAAAATTTTACTTATGAATTAAAATCAGAAGAAATTAAACAAAGTTATAAACCGTTGCACCGTAAACATCTAGTCTGGTCTAGTACACCAATAGTGCTACTTGTTCATTGATGGCGTGTATGATTGAATTATGTCGTATACCGAACAAAAGTTGTATACCGAAATTTGTTTCGTCCAAACAGGACGTATTCTGAATTGGACGTATTCTAAAGCAGACTTATACCGAGGTACCACTGTATCTCAGAATGGGTAAAGTTTAAGAGATGAAATGTGGCACTGTAACTTGCATATAAAGAGGCATTAATACTATTAAATTTTGGTTCTTAATTAAAGAACGACAGGGTAAAGACATAAAAGTGGTCATATGTCATATCTTTTAATGAATATTTTATTCGTTACTAGTGTTCAAAATTAAAAAAATAATAATAATAAAATGAAACTTGTCTCTACCCTCAAAGTAAGCTTTTTTGTCATTTTATACATTTTTTGTACAGTAAAATCTGTTAAGATGTTCTCGTCTAAGATGTTAGAATTTATATAGGGACACGATTTAGTTCAACCACTTTGAGGCTTAATAACTAACTCCTGTGTTAAACCATGTGATTCCGATTCTGACTACAGAAATTATTAGGCTTCAAACAGGGTGAACAAAAGCATGCCCCACATACAGTCTAAAATCCACACATATAGAAAAAACCTCGAATCTTTTGCTTAATTAACTCAAAATTTCAAGTTGTCCCGAGTCCAAAAATGTAAAAATTTGGGAAAGGTCATTTTTTCACCTAGCGCTACACTTTCCATCTGTTATATATAACAGCCAAAAAAGTAAAAATTATTGAATACATATTTATATATTACTTAGAGGAGTCTTATAGCTTTGGAATAAAAAGTTTCTACGTTCTATCTTTATTAGAACTCTATTTATTGAATCGCTTATTCTGAAGTCACGTGATGACATCAGAATTTCCAGATCTCTTTCGGTAACATGTCCGCCCCTGGTCGGAGTCGGATGGTAAGGAAAAGTCAGTGTTCGAGTCGGTAGATTTTTACGCGACTCCACAGCCCTGGTATAATGACACATGCCTTTACCAAATAAATGAGTAAAACTTTATGAATTTTTACTTACATGCTTCATGGACCAAAAAAAATGTTGGGGTGGACAAACACCCCACTGCATTAATGCCGAAAAAAAATTCACTGCACTAGCGCAGGGTTGTTTTCTGGGAAGGGATATGTATGTTAATGTGGAAGGTAAACAGTTCTTGATAAAGAATTTTATTAATAGACTAGAATTCATTTTTAACCTTTATTATGATCAAATAAATTTGCAGTCATATTTCCCTTTCAGAATATATATTTATTTACAATATACTTGTTTTCTTATTTATTATTATGTTTGGTTTAGTGAGTTAAAATCAGTTCACACTGGTGGCTGTGTACTATGCTGGATCAGAGTCAAGACATAGCAACCAGAAAAAAAATTAAATAAGTGTGCCAGTGTCTATATTCAGGAATTTCCTAACAATATGACATGAATTCAATGTAATGGCCTTCTGTAGTGTGATGTATGTATTTCTATTCAATTGTAATNCAATAGAATTGCATAGCAATACTTTATAGTATTGTAGATAATTATGGAAATATAAATGAACACTTGATTTGAAAAATACCAAGAATTAGTATTGCTTAGAAATTTAAAGTAATTTAAATGCCAAACTCAGTTGCCATATATTGAAGAAATAAAGATCATTGTTTTTATACAAAACAACAGTAAATCTAATTTTATTACTGTGTTATTAATTATATGGAGAGAAATTAGTAGATTGATTTTTCTTTCTAGAATACTCAATAAATTTCATTATTACATTGTAGTATATACATATATTTTGAATAAGATTTAAAATCAATAAAAAAACTAGGATGATAAATAATAATAATAAAATTTAGAATAAACATTCAAACACAAGTGTCTTCATATCTCATCCTCTTCTATGCTCCTCACAAACACAACTTCACATGACAGAGTTGATCTTTATGTTGAGGCTTGCCTCTAACTCAATATGATTGTTAAAACTGGGTCCCTCTAGTGATGGCATAGTAAAAAACTATATAGTTAATAAAAAAAATCCAGGGCAATACAAAACTCTGCTGTGTGAACTTGAATCATTTATAAACAAAAAACTAATTAAATTTATATAAAGCAAAATTATACTCCCATAAATATGGTAAAAATAAAATTTAAAAAATCTGTTCTACTACAATTATTGTATATGTACTGTGTGTGTGTAAGCATCAAAGAATGTCTCACATAATCAGAATTAGAGTTTAATCTATGACACATGGTCTAAATTCTGCTAATCATACAAGCAGCATAGCATCCTATTTCACAAACTGGAAGTGGCACTGTTATTTGTTTCTCACTTCAAAAATTTAATTGAAAATTTCAAGTACTTATAGTACATTTTGATTTAAAAGTCTGTCGTAACCTGAATATATTTGAATATATAAACGGCTAGAAATAAGTGAGGAAGGTTTTGTATTGATCATCTATTTCGATAGTTTAATATATATATAGCTTTTCTAATTAGTTTCACATTTACAGTTATTTGAAAGAAAAATGATTCCTATTCCAGACATTAATAATAGTGACACATCCAGTTACATTACTGTGTAATTCTATTTTACCTTTTACAGTTTATTTTTGTAATTTTTTACAATTATAAAAAATTTTTCCTAAATATCCATCTCATGCATAACCAATCAATGCCATTTTTAAGTCTCTAACTATAACAAATACAATTTACATTACAACATAAAAGGAATTTAATACGGACTACATATTGTATATGTATTAGCAATGTGATTGTGCTACAGGCCTACTAGTGTACATATTTAAGAATATATGTATTTACTTTCAGATTCTCCCGATAGCAAAACTTCAATTGAATCAAACAATGATAGTCTTCAAATAAATGGAAATGGAAACAATCTTCCACTAGTATCAACAGAAGGAAATGGTATATCAATTGCTTCTAACCATTATACCATTACAGAATTATCTCGTGGAATTTCCAGCCTGGTAATGATACCAAAACTTTGATCAAGATTTAATCAACTATTTGTTCTATGTTATTTACATACTAAAAATATATTTAAGATACAAAAATATTTGTCTTTAATATATTTTTATATTCTTAACATGTAAATATCATTGGCCGATTTTTTAATTAGCTATTTTATCAAAATTTGAAAAAGCTTTTATGAAGTACAGTAAAGCATTGAAATTTCGGAGCGTCAAAAATCTGGATTTGACCATTAAAAAATCCATTTCCTTTTTTGGTATGACCTTGTCATTTCAATGGTAACTTTGTTGTTGTTGTTATAACATTTACTCAGAATTCATAACTTTAATGTTGAAATTATAATTAATGTATTTTTTGTTTAAATGTTGTGATTTTGCCATCTATATTTTGAATTGTCTTTGTAAGTAGTACTATATTCCTTATGAAATACTAGTTTGAACTAAGAACATCTAAGCTTGATTTACAGTGTATTTAGAGTTTACAATACTAAATACTAATTTACACATATATTCAAAAATCTAGATAGGGTCCAGTCCCAATTACTTCAAATTTTCACTGCTTTATTGTAGTTCCAAATTTTAATTGCTGTATATGTATGTTTGAGTCAAAAATAAATCAAAGTTTAATATAACTTATTATATTAATAATAATATATTTTGTTTATTTACAGCAGGGATTGAGTCCAACTATGGCTGCTTTTACTCCAACATCAGTTATGCGAAAAATGCATTCTGAAAGGCAAGAAAAGGATAAATCTGACACTTCATCAATTTGTGACAAAATGCCAGGTAATTACATACATTATTCATCTTTTAAAAAGCAGGGAGGCACATTTATGATTTCATGACATCATTTTTGAAATTACTAAAGGTTTGATACATAACTATTGATACTTGTATATATCACAATAGAATTGCATAGCAATACTTTATAGTATTGTAGATAATTATGGAAATATAAATGAACACTTGATTTGAAAAATACCAAGAATTAGTATTGCTTAGAAATTTAAAGTAATTTAAATGCCAAACTCAGTTGCCATATATTGAAGAAATAAAGATCATTGTTTTTATACAAAACAACAGTAAATCTAATTTTATTACTGTGTTATTAATTATATGGAGAGAAATTAGTAGATTGATTTTTCTTTCTAGAATACTCAATAAATTTCATTATTACATTGTAGTATATACATATATTTTGAATAAGATTTAAAATCAATAAAAAAACTAGGATGATAAATAATAATAATAAAATTTAGAATAAACATTCAAACACAAGTGTCTTCATATCTCATCCTCTTCTATGCTCCTCACAAACACAACTTCACATGACAGAGTTGATCTTTATGTTGAGGCTTGCCTCTAACTCAATATGATTGTTAAAACTGGGTCCCTCTAGTGATGGCATAGTAAAAAACTATATAGTTAATAAAAAAAATCCAGGGCAATACAAAACTCTGCTGTGTGAACTTGAATCATTTATAAACAAAAAACTAATTAAATTTATATAAAGCAAAATTATACTCCCATAAATATGGTAAAAATAAAATTTAAAAAATCTGTTCTACTACAATTATTGTATATGTACTGTGTGTGTGTAAGCATCAAAGAATGTCTCACATAATCAGAATTAGAGTTTAATCTATGACACATGGTCTAAATTCTGCTAATCATACAAGCAGCATAGCATCCTATTTCACAAACTGGAAGTGGCACTGTTATTTGTTTCTCACTTCAAAAATTTAATTGAAAATTTCAAGTACTTATAGTACATTTTGATTTAAAAGTCTGTCGTAACCTGAATATATTTGAATATATAAACGGCTAGAAATAAGTGAGGAAGGTTTTGTATTGATCATCTATTTCGATAGTTTAATATATATATAGCTTTTCTAATTAGTTTCACATTTACAGTTATTTGAAAGAAAAATGATTCCTATTCCAGACATTAATAATAGTGACACATCCAGTTACATTACTGTGTAATTCTATTTTACCTTTTACAGTTTATTTTTGTAATTTTTTACAATTATAAAAAATTTTTCCTAAATATCCATCTCATGCATAACCAATCAATGCCATTTTTAAGTCTCTAACTATAACAAATACAATTTACATTACAACATAAAAGGAATTTAATACGGACTACATATTGTATATGTATTAGCAATGTGATTGTGCTACAGGCCTACTAGTGTACATATTTAAGAATATATGTATTTACTTTCAGATTCTCCCGATAGCAAAACTTCAATTGAATCAAACAATGATAGTCTTCAAATAAATGGAAATGGAAACAATCTTCCACTAGTATCAACAGAAGGAAATGGTATATCAATTGCTTCTAACCATTATACCATTACAGAATTATCTCGTGGAATTTCCAGCACAATTCCTACAGCTGGTAATACAAATATAGGTCCTAGAGCATTCCATAGTGGACAATCTTCCTTGAACCAAAACCGATCACAGGGACAGATTGGAATTCCAAGTCAAGGTCGTCCAATAGTAAAAGGTGGTAACCAAAATATGAATTCTAGTGATCATTTCAACAGAACACTCTCAGGGAATAAGGGATTAGTTCATAATAAGCAGTTTTTGGGAGGTACTCCACAAGGTAATTTCATTAAATTTATATAAATATTAGAAAATCAATTTCAAGAAAGTCTGTATATAGTAATTTTGCTTTTGAAATTTTTCAATGTTTTCAGTGGTCAGTTTGCACTGTTCTAATATGTTTAAATACATGAAAAATTTTTAAAATGTAAATTATATTTATAAAGATTATTTTTTGAACTATTTATAGATTTTCTTGATCTAAAGATACAGTGCTGATAAAAGCAAAACTTGTTGAAATTTAATGTGGTTTTTAAATATTTATTTTCAGCTAATCACTTATTGCGCCCTGACATTAATATGGGATTAGCTAAATTAATGGAACATCGTCTTATGCAGCAACAACAACAAGCTCTAGCTGCACAGCGTCAGATGAATACATCACCAATGCCACCAATGACTATACCTCCGGCTGCAGCATTTGGCTTAGGTCCTCCCCGTACACCAGGTATAACACCTCATGCTGCTAATCTAGTGCAACCTGGAGGAATAAATTTAACACCAACTGTTGGAGCTACTAGTCTGAATCTACCTTTGCTCCGTACAATGATGCAAACCAATCCAGCTCTGAGAGGTAATTTTTTTCTTTTTCCTGTTAAAATAGATGTCCCTTATTTGAAACAGTTTGAATTTTTTTAAATATAAAAAGTTTATCGTTATTGATGATAAATACAATAGCCACCATGCTATAAGTATAGGATATAATTTAATAATAATGATGCAGTAATTAGAGATTTGTAGCAAACTTTTTTCAAAATGTCCAGTTTTTAAAAAATAATTTTTAAAGAAAATAAAATAAGAATGTAAATAAAACTATTCATTTTCTTCATGTGTGTTGTCTAAACATTTCTTACATTGTATGCAAGTTTTAATATTTTTAATACATGATAAAAGTAAATTCCAATAATAAATAAATTTATATAGACTCTTGCTTATCCATCATACTCTCAAATGTGATTTCCTATGCACTTTCATTTCCATGAAAATATTAGTCATGTCAAACATCCTATTTTTCTGTTTATTCAGATATCATTTCTGTGTACAGTATTGTATTTTGGCACATCATATTATTTGCCACTTGCATCCAAACAGAATTGGCACCAAAGGGCAACAGATCATGCCATTCATTGCCTTTTGGCCAATACACAGTCAGTAATCCAGCATCCCCCTCTGCAAGAAATGACTGGATTAGCAACACAGTTTTTATAGTGGATTAATTCACTGTAAAAACTTATAACAAAGATTGCCAACATTGCTTAACATGCTATTTATGTAATTTTGTTTTAGTAATATATTGTGTAAAATTTTTACCAGAAACATAGATATATATCTTTTAGATTTAGATAAAAATGTTCACTATCCAAAGATACCCTTTAAAAAAAACATTAGTTAAAACATTATTTCTCCTTCAAGAACAAAAATGTAATATTTTTAATTGTAGCACTCCTATTCAGTGAATGAATGTAATTAGTTCAGCAATTATCACGTTCACTTAATAGTCTTTTGTGGTTAGATATTTAATATTTTTGATTCATTTATTCTATCAATATATTGTTTAATTTGACTGTTTGTCATCTCAGTTTCTTAACAAAAATAAAGATAAGATAAAGTTCTTTTTGCCCAAAAGATGAACACATCTGTTATTTTTACATCACTATTACTGTTTCAGTTTAATTTCTAATTTTTTTACAATATTCTATTTTTTCTAGTATTTGTTGAGAATCAGTTTATAGATCTAAATCTATTTTGTTGAAAATATAAATGTCTTATTATAATACCAGTTTGAATATGTTTGTATTCAGTGAGATATAAAAATTTTGTTTTTAGATTACTTTCATTTTTAAAATTTTGAGCTTAGTATTGAATGACAATGTGAGAATATGGGCAAGGGGACAGAGCCCTCTAATGGTTGGATCGGCGAGATCCACTTACAGCATCACTGGATGGCTGTTTATCGAGTGGCGAGGGGGTTGAGAAAGTCAACGGGTGTTCGTGCAAGCAATGATAGATAGGTTCACAGATTAAACAAACAAATAAGGAGTTTATTATACTAATCTAAATTACAGGAGCATACATAAAGTATTAAATGATTAAATGCAGATAACATAAATTTATTGGTAAAGGCGATCAAACTAGTCACTATGCCATGTGCCTAACCTCTAGAGAGAGAGTTTACAAAGGTTTCTGCCATCAAATATATCTCAACATGCTGTCTGATGACTGTATGCGACAATCATTCTGGAATATGGAAGCTGGAACAGTCCTATGTCTTCTACCTGCTTCTCGGACAGGACCGGGATGGGAGACGCTTGTACCAAGAACTTCCTGGGACGATTGCCCTGAACTTTCCATGACAATCATTTTTATACAATCGTCGTTGGCATTGAGCCAACTGGTCATTTACTTGTTATAATGACTAATTCGCAGGCGCGTGATGACATGTGCCTTCTTCCTCCCTAAATTGTGGATGTTAAGGGTTGACATTTGATCTATTTCCATGAGAACGTTCAATAGTTTTTTTTTTCCTTGACTGAGGTTTACAATTCCTTCAAAAAAATTCATCTAACAGTAAAACTCAAAAATGTACACCTTCAAACTGTCTGGCTCACAACAAGGATACATATACATCCATAAGCATAAAAATTAATGAAATATTTTCCAGATATAAATATTATACTACATTCTCAATTTCCGGTATTGGTATTATTATTTAGAATTATATCTTACTTATAAAATTACTTTAACTTATAACTGGTTTTGTTATAATTCTACAGTATTTTATAATACAATGTAATAATTTTCTTGCAGGCAATTATTTTTTTGTTGAATGTTTGTTTATATTTAATTAGAGTTTAAGAGCAGATTTTAACTTAAAGTAAAATACTTTTTATAAAATACCTAATTCTGTTTTTACACAAACTTTTTTTAAACAATTTTGATTTAACACAATTTAAAAAAAAAATTGTGAAGTATGATCCTAATGAGGAATGAGCTTTAAAGTTTCAATGTGATCTGAAATCGTTACTGTTGTCTTATAAAGAATTATATAAAGACCTAGCCACCATACGAACCCAGCCATTCATATGGTATAGAATAACTGAATCATTCATAAAACCACTAACATCAGCACCACAGGACATTACTGCTAACATTATTGTTCAAGAGTTCACAGAAAGAACTTTACCTGTGGACAAAACATGATAACCAAAGCATTTTTAGTGATAGCAGTGATATTGAAGTTATCCACAAATGTATATATTTATTGTCAAAAAGTGACAATAAATAAAATCTTATGTATAACTCATTACATATTCTGTTCAATTTTTATGTTCATTAATTCTTTATATTTTTTTGTTTTTCAAATGAAATTTACGTTCCTGTAATTTATTTTATTTATGTGCAATGTATGTGAAATAAAATTTGATAACAAGCAAAAACAAATAAGATTTTTTATATGGTTTATTGTATTATTTTGGTTGATTTCTTAGATTGTAACAAATCTTCAATTTTTCATATATATATGAAAAATTGAAGATTTGTTACAAACTAAGAAATCAACCAAAATAATACAATAAACCATATAAAAAATCTTATTTGTTTTTGCTTGTTATCAAATTTTATTTNTATATATATATATATAGCATATTTTTTTATATGTGATTTCTGGGAACCTAATCTATAATGTAAAAACAGAATTAGGTGTATTTTGTGAAATTTTAAGAAAAACAATGCATTAAATATTATCTTTTATAAGAACCATAAAAATTTACAAGCTTGAAAAGAAAATTGTTTTCTAGAAATAAAATATATTGTAGCATTTGTGAAATGTCATAAATTTCCAGATAAATATAATTAATTTTCTTTAAAGTTAGTCATAACACTTGAAATAATTAAGTTACAAACTTAGTGTATTACAAACTCTTGTAATTTACATTTATTTCAAAACTTATTAAAATAAAATTCATTAAATTTTTAGCTCAAGCTAATTCGCTCACTCAGTTAACACAATTGGGACAATTAGCCGCACTGCAACAACAGCTGCAACGTGATCCTCGTCAGTTACAGGCTTTAGCTCAAGCTCGTGGTTTGCATCCTGTAACTCTTCAGCAACTTTTACTTAATGCCCAATCACAAGGTAATTCATCCAATTCTCAGGCAACCAATTTTCGGTCACAGGGAATTGCCGGTAACACAATTAATATTATGGGTGGACGTAATGTGGGTAAGTGTCGATAGTTACTAAGTTATGTGTTTAAGCATATATGATTAAGTAAAGTATTTGTCATTATTTTCAGTAACCCCATATGTAAGATAAATTTAAATTTGATGTGATTTAGGAATTTTATTGCTTTCTCATTATTATTTTTTTTTGTTTGTTTCATTTTAAAGCAAAATCCATTATGACTTTACACATGTATGAAATTTAAAATACTTATATGGCATGAAATAGTGTCATATGCTTTTATACATAAACATCACGTGTGTGTAAAATAAAAGCATATGACACTATATCGTGTGTGTGTGTAAAACTAGGGCACTATTAAAGTAGTAATCTATTTATCTTGACAGTATTTTTCTTACTTGAAATAGATGAGAGAGAGAGACTAAAATTATTTTCTATTGTTTTATCAAAGTGTTTATTTGCACTATTGTATTGAACTTCATGTGCTTGGTTTAACAAATATTGAATAGTTTTAGAAATAAGAAAAGTACATGTTTAAATTTTAAAAAATTAACATTGTTATGAAATAGCACACATTTGTGTGTGTGTGTGTGTGCTATTTCATTATAACAATATAAATTTTTAAACAAAAAATATATGTATGTATGTATTTTTTTTTAATTTGAATTGCCACAAAATAACTGCTGCCTCTGATGTTAAATTTATTTATTAATTAACTTTAGCTAATATAAGAATTAGTAATAATTCATAAAAATAATGCTTCAGTAGAACATTCATTCAATCAACTGCATACAAGTTTGTACAACAGGAAAATAAAAATTATTAGAAAAATATTAACTACTGTTAGTTTTTCCCATATCCTTTTGAAGTAGGTATTATATAGAACAAAATTTTTTTGAACTTTATATCAATTAAATTTAAATATAGTCAACTTACATTAATATGAATTGCTAGGGGAACAGTAGTTAGCTTGCTTTATTGAAAATTCATATTAGCAATTTCAGGGTAAGGGTCAAGGTTGTATAATTTACAGAGTTAAGATAAAACTTAACAGGTGATCTTAACAGTCGGTCGAAATTTCTAAAATATAATACAGTATTTTGAATTAATTTACTAAATAAAGTTAAATAAAATTAAATTTATAACAAAAGCAAATTCTAAATAATTTTTAAAATTAAACAAAATGAGGAGGAAACAGTGTTTGCCTTTAAGTTAGGGACAGTGTATCAGAAAGGTTAAATAAAACAAAGCTAAAATAAATTCATAATTTTTTTCTGTTGAAGATTGTTTGAAAAAGTAGAAAATGTTTTTGGCACCAAAAGAGTAAAAGAAAGCCAAATTTGGCACAAAGTAGCCAAACCAGGCATCACTGTATGCACTTCTGATAAGCACACAAGTGACCACATCATTTAAGGGGTGAGCATCTTTAAACTTTAATCCCTATTTTCTGTTTATAGTAGAATGGTCTGCTAAAACCAGGTATACCAATTGCTGTACAGTTGGATGTTGAACCCATCTTTGTTTACTAGGAGGAGAAAATCTATTCTACTCAAAACATTTATTACAGGACTGGTTTTTTTTTCTTCTTTTGTTATTCACGTCAAAAAGTGTAAAAAGCAGCCATAATTGAGTTAGGGTTATTTCTTGGGGGTCGTGGGTAATTTACAGTTTGGTTTAATGAACTCTGGTAAAATTTTTATTTGCTTTATCATGTGAAATTTAACTTTATCACAATGGCATTTTGCTGGGGTAACAGCAAAATTCACTTTAATGCCAGAATTTGCTTTAAGGTGAATCTGCTGTAAAATTCTTATGAAAGATTGAATTGTAGTGATTGAAATTTTGTTTTAATTATGAAATAGTTGCTGCAGAAGTCTTAATTATATGTTAAATCCAAATTTTATATGAAAATCTAGGTAAAGGATGCGAGTAATGAGCAGCAAGGTTTACTTTTCCTGTCTGATTTTTCAGCTCTTGAATAGTCATTTAGCATTCTGTAAGGGTTCCAGATTAGTTGCCAGTTATTTGATGATATTGTGTGTGGTATTAGCTAATTGTTTTTATAAAATTATTATATCCTTAGCAATAACACAACAGATACTTATTAGTCTCCAAATAATTTAATTTATATGTCTTATCTATTAAGGTATTATCAGCCTTTCTGTAGTCTATTTGTCATACCATTTTCTTTGGGATAAAATGAGTTCATCTGGATAATTTCTTGGCTTTATCTAATGTGATTACGTTTAAATTAAAAACAAATACAAATTTAACATTTTATATTTTAAGAATGTAAATTAAGATATATAGGCATTCTTTATTATCAATTGTTATAGTGTTTCACTAGAGAAAAATTAATAAAATTACATAATTGAAACATATCTAGAATTGCAAACAATATCATATAATTTATGCTCCATTTAATATATGTTGAAAGTTGCAAATTTTTGTTGACTAAATTTTAGATGATGATTATTTTTTAAATTAGAATTACTAAAATTTACATTTGAATTTTTATACTTATGTAATTACTTGATTATAAAAAAAAAAAGTTATGGTTATACAAAACTAATTTCTTTAGTAAATACTTAAGTTTAATTTTGTTAAACTGTTCAAATTGCATTTTACAAAAAGATAAACGTAAAACAAATCTTTAATTAGTATTGCTTAAAATATATGCTTGTTTTCTTCATGTAAATATTTTTTCTAATTTAGAAAACAGCTTATTAGGAACTGCTAACATGAGATCACAACTAGCTCCCGGTCAACCATCTCTGAATCGACAGTCTCCGGTCAACCTGTCAAAATGGTTTGGAAATGATGTTTTGAAACAGAAGATGCCCGACATGCCTCCGGTTCCACATCAGAATGCGCTTTTGGTTGAAGAGGTTGAACGTCAACATCAGACAACAGTTGTACACAATTAAATCTTGATTCAAATGAACTGTTGGTTAATATAGTATCCCCATCAACTATTAATAGCACATACAGTGAAGAAAAAACCATGGCCTCTCACAATCTTAATCTTCTGTTTTGTCCCGTTCAGTACGTTTGTGATAAGTATCGATGTCCATAATGTGAGTATAGTTGGCGATATTTAGCCCTTTGTCTGCTTTTTGTGTGGAAGCCTTACCATTTAAGGTCGCTCGACCTTCTACAGTGTAAACTGTGATACGTGTTGTTCTTCCCTATTTTCCTAAGACTGTGGAGTACCTATTTCACAGATTTATCAGTGGAAACAACTATAATATTTGGGCAGAATTTGTGTCCAATTACATAAAAATATCTAGTGTATTTTATATGTTTTTCTCCCCTCGCTTGTTTGTGATTTCAAGTTTGAAGTCACTTATAAAAATGAATATAGGGTGATGATTTTACCCTCGTTGAATTTATCAGTGTAAAGATTTGTGTTCACGGTTTGTCAGTCTCTATAACATTGAAAAAGAATTGAGAGAACTTCTCGACTGTCTGTCCATTGTCTCCGAACTAAATGTTCCTAAAGTAGTGTGCCTAAATTTTTGTCAATGTATCTGTCTACCATGTGAATTTTTTGTGTATTTTTGTTGTTATGTATATTTTTTTTAAGTTTAAGTAAGGGTTGAATGTGTTTTTGTTTTGTTTTTTTTTTTTGTTTGTTTTACTTTGGTAAATTTCTAATTGTATAAAGATTATTCATCTATCATAGCAGACAGACTTTCTGTAGACAAGCTAATAATTGTAAATGCAAATGTTTAAATGTTAAAAAATAAAAGTGCATTAAAAATTAAAAATAGTAGAAAACTTTGACATTTTTTCTTTTTTTTTTTATTTCTATTAAAAAATAATAATAAGTAAATAATGAGTGGCAACTATTAGCTTGTCTGTAGAAAATCATATATATCAATGGATCTGTGCCGAAAAAATCACATAGTTTATTTGTCATTAGGCATAAGTGGTAGTTTACCCGTATTGTGTCACTTAGCCTTCTGTAGCACTTTGGTCTGCTAGATAGGTATTATAGCATTGAAACAGCACATAACAAGAATATTTGTTGTGTGATATCTATTATAGCTGTTTCTGTGAAGGCAGCATATTAATTGTCATGGAACATATGGTACTATTATATTCATATTTCTGCATTTGTGTGAGTTTGGTAATTACAGTTGTTGACAGTGTAGTGTTTAGAAAAACAGTTATATTTCACTCAAATGATGCGTGCATTTGTAGCTATATTGAACATAGAAGAATTAGATCAGATCCTATCTCCAGGATTCATATTAAACTGTGCAAAAAATATATTATAAATATAAATTCATATATAAATATATATATACATTATATATATATCTATATATATATGTATATTGCCACATAACAGTCCAAACTACAAGTGTTCTTTCTGCCTGTTTCACCGCACAAAGCATTAAGATTTGAAATGTTACTTCTTGTGTACTTTAATTAGGACAGTGGCACTAAATGTAAAATAGCTAATTAGATATATTATATTAATATTTGGCATTGGTTATAATTACTTTCCTATATTTTTCATCTCTCATTGATTGCAAGAAGAGTGTGGAAGTAGAAAAATGTGTTTTAGCATGTCTGGTGCAGCAGCATTTAAATTCCAGAAGTTTGTCTTTCCCGATTAGATGGCAGAACAAACATCACCAATGTACATATTTGTCAAAACTGTATACAATCAATGTTTCGCTGGAGAAGTTGTGCCAAGTGCTTGTGTTTTTCTTGCAATATATCTCTTAAACATTTATCTTTGAAAAATATATATATATAAAAAAACAAAAAAACCAAATAATAATAATAATTAATAATTGTCTGATTTAATCTCTGAATTTCACTGTCGGTGAAATAAGTTGAAAAAAATATATATTAAAAAAAAGGTGTACAGTAATACTTCTGCGTACAGGCAGAAGAAATGTTTACAAAGTAGTCAGTTCACAGATAGTGTTTATAGATATTTTCATTTGTTCTTCCTTCAGTGATTATGCCGTTTTTTGCATGTAGCATTTGTCATGCAGAAATAATCGTTCTGCACAAGAGACCTGGCATACTTTGAAAATAAGAAGATTTCTTTTCTTTGTTTCATCACGAAAGATAAATTGGACCAAAGTAACGAAAACTTCTAAGAAAAAAAATTTGTCTATTGTGATATCTAACAGTCAAATGTCATGATTTTAAAGAAACAAAATATCTGGGGATGTTCTTCCTTGCTGAGGATTAATATACATTCGTATTGATGATTTTATTTAGAAATTTATTGTGAAATTGTCTCACTTAATGTGTTTCTTATAAAAAAAAATTTTTTTGTCATTTTTCCAAATATTAACCCTATAAATTACTGTTTTTAAAATTGAAATTTACTTTGTTACGTGCCTGATCTTTATCTAACAGAAATAACTTTTTTTTTCGGAAGTTGTAAATTATCCAGCACAAAGGAATTTTTTCTTTGCTTAATTTGATTACTCAATTAAGCAGTATTATATGTGATTTCATGCAATAATCTTTGTTCATAAAATATATATATAAGTGATGCTTATAATAAGCTTTTTCAAATTTGTGAGCTTTAAAAAAAGAAAACAAAAACTTTTTGGTGCAGTTTCACAATTTGTGTGTGGTGCGTAATTATTTTTCTCTTCTTTTTTTTCTCCTCGGAATTCACTTCCTTACCACTCAATAAAGAGCATGCATCTCAGCATCAAATTTATTTGTGCTTTTATTATAACGTAAATGTCAGATAACTTTGAATTAAATGGATATTGAAATATTGTGCCGAGCCACAAGACGGATTGATCTTGTAAGGGGGGAAACTGAAAAAAAAAATATATATACAACTTTTAGAATTGTCTCGTTCATGAAAAATATTTCAATATTATATGTTATCGTTTAACCTGGTTGCAATTGAATAAATTATCACTTTAAATATTTAAAAACATCTCATGTAAAATGCTTTAGATATTTCGAAAATTTGAATCTTTCTGTTTAAAGGAAATGATAAATTACTTTCAAAATATATAGTATTTTTTTTTCCTTGTATTTATACACTTAACTGTTTAAAATTCCCGACGTATACGTTCCTAAATTTTCGGCGTAAAATTACTTTTTAACGAAACAAAAACCCAATTCTAATTCTGTTAACATTGTATTAGTAAACTATTGACAGGTTATAGAAGATTGTCTTCTAGAAAGTCTTAGAAAATATTCCTAATAAAAATTTTTAACCACTTTAAAACCTGCCTACACAATTTATTAATAATGATTAGCTTAACAGTTAAACAGGAAATTGCCGTAAGGAAAAAGAATTAGTTTTTTCCAGTTTCTGTAAAACAATACCCAAAATAACTTGTAAATTATATTAATACGTAATTATCACCACTTATATTTACGAACCGAATTACAGGAAAAAACAAAATATTAAGGAGTGGAAATATTTTAATCGAGGTAAACACTCGATTATAATATACCGATTACTTAATATTTCGGCCTTTGTACGTCTGGACAGACTGGACACTAAAGTATTTACGTTTTGCAGATTTATTTCGAGTGTGCAAACCACAAAACAGTCACGGTAGACGTCCCACTTTGATTTCTTTCTTATATTCTTTTCGTATACCGCTTTACCTGTGAGGTATACAATAGCAATTCCAACAGACACGACACTTATTTACTACAGAAATTAAATAATTTAAACTTAAGACACCCGACATTTTCGGATCTATTTCTCACAACTTTACATTTGATTATCGGTATTATAGTGGTTTTCGACCCAACTCTCTCGCAATATTGCAGAGTAAGATTCCTTGATTAGAAACTTTTTATTCCCACTCGCCCGTCTACCCTTCCTTAATTTCGGGGTTAGATAGATGAACGTCGAGATCGGCTGCGGAAAGCTTAGAGGCAGGAGACCCAGATTAACTATATACTAACTTCTGATGCAAACAGCGAATTGCATTATTTCGATTCAAAATTTTTCCTCAAAGAAGTTAGATGACCGGCACGACTCCGTTGCCAACAAGAGGTGGGGTGTACTGTACGGGACAATACTAATTTCGGATGGAGAGCGCGCACATTAAATTAAAAAATGCAACCCGGCACTGCGACAATGCCAATAAATAATCGCTCGTAGTCTTTAAATTTCTCGATTTCCACGTCGTCGAGTGGACTAAGGGTGTGACTACGCGGACGCGATATAGTTCTCGCAAAGGGAAACCACGCGCGAGCGAGAAATATCGCTGGCGAGAGCGAATTTCTGGTATTCGCGCATCTGACAAGAGGCCGGGCGGTCGAGGTGGCAGCCTACCGCTCCGGGGACCCGGGTTCGAATCCAGACGGGTCCGCTAAATCCCCAGAATTTTTTCAGATGTGATCTTTCCGGATATGTCGGGCTCCGGCCGCCCGTTGCGGGCGTGACCGAACCCTTAATGGGCTCGCTAATGGAGGCCCACTTAGTGCCCATAGGCGGAGAGAATTTTTTTATTAAAAAAATTGACAAGGTTTGATATTTATCGCGTCTGCCTTAAGGTCCATTTACACACGACAGTGACGCGCAGTGAATTTTTGCCTGTGGGAAATGACCTAGTTTTAAACCACCCTGTCCAAGGACTATATACTACAAGGATAGCCAGATCCCTATTCTACAATGTTAGCCAGGAATGGCAAGTTAGTGACGTCAGCACGAGTCCTGACCTCTCTGTTTACATAGAGAAGGGTGTGCACGTGTTTAGTTTTCGCTTTTAATATTCGTCCAATTTTGTGATTAACGAAGTGATTTATTTTAATATTTCTGTAATTGTTTTATTTGACTAAGTTTTTTATAAGGTAAGATGATTTAAATATAAGTCATTAAATATTTAAAGCTATATTTTTATGTTAGGTGAAGAACAAAATGCTGAGTACTAGGTGTGCTGTGTATGGTTGCAATAATAACCTTCTTTTTTCAAATTGGAAGCAACCTGTTTACATCGGGTTTGATCAAAAAATGACAAGAGAAATACTTTTAACATTAATAGCAGAACTTTATTTACTATCGTATAATGTAGCTCGCGTCAGTGACTGTAGTTGCAGTAACATAAGTTTATGGAAAGAATTGAATGTGAATATCAATGAAACGTTTATTATGAATCAATTATTATTATCAATGAAACGTATATTAGAGATATAAATATGTGGTTGGACATTTTTAATAGCTATGCACCAAAAGGTTCTGTTCCAAGCAAAAATGGATATGGTGTAGACTTGGAATTACAAGAAGAACATTTAAATAAAATGATAAAAATAATCTCAACAATGAGAGCGAGTGGAAAAAATGCCCTCCAAATTTTCCAGGAAGGAATGATAATCTCAATGAAATCGCTAATTGATCTTTTTCAAGATCTGAAATCGACTTTTGATATAAAATACATCTGCACTTAAATCAAGATTGTCTGGAAAACTTTTTTTTTCAAATCAGAAGCCGGGGTCCTAATGAACATCCGAGCCCATTAAATGCTATTTATAGGATTAGATTGATTATTTTAGGTAAGAATCCTGGTATTTTAGAGTCAAAAGTAAATACTACAGATCGAAGACGAGGAATATATTATACTCAAAGTTTTAGAGAAAGCGCATGTAGAAGTATCGAGTGAAAATACAGACCAATATACTGAATGTAAATCTACTTTTTCTTCAAATAAATCTTCTCTACACGCAATCTAGACTTTAACACAATCTCTGAAGAAACTTCCTACGATGCGCTCGAGTATATAGCGGGATATTTTGCCTATAAATATAAAGAAAAATACCCAAACTTAATTAATTCCACTAACAAAATTAAAAATCATCACAACTATAGCATTCCGTCATGGGTGCAACATTTATCTTATGGAGGGCTTATTAAACCTACTGATGAATGGCTAGCAAAAATTATAGAATGGAATAAATATTTCGAAATATATCACGATGAATCGTATAAAAAAGGCCCCGGAGTTGTACAGAATTAGTTAGTGGAAACAGTTTTACCTTTTACCTTAATAAAAGATTTTTGTAAATTAAGAACTATAATAAGAATTAATTATAGAAATCTTAAACAAGAAAACTATAAAATATTGAAAAGAATGCCTTCTGAAAATGGTGATTGTCGAAAACAAATTAAAAAGTTAAGTAAGATAATCACATAATAAAAAATATAACTCATTAGTTTGTTAAATAAATATTACACAAAAGACTTGTAAATTTATTGAGGTACAGTACACTTATTAAATCCGAAAATTCTACAGTAGTTTACATTTAGTAGTAATTTAATAATTAATTAAGAAATGATTTAATATTTTATCGTATTTTGTTATTTGTGTTGAAGTAGAGGGCTTGCTGTGACGTCACATAGATCCAAGGTCACGCTAACAAAAATACGGGATCTGGCTATCCTTGTAGTTTAAAGTCCTTGCACCCTGTCCAGACTCGTCCGTCGCAGTGGCGTGATCGTACCGCGAAAGTACATTTGATGGGAACGATACTTTCACCGACGGTAAATTTTGTTTTCCAATGAATAACGAACTTTTAATTGAAATGGTGCGTCAACGCCCTGTTCTTTTTGATTTATCTCATTCGAAATACATGGACATTGGGAACGAAATGAATATTTTCTCTGTTTTGTTTAATAAAATGCGTGCTGGGACATTCGAAAATATTCAAAAAATATAGATTCGTCATCTCAATTTTTTTATATAGAGTACAAAACTCTCGTTCTGTTGATATTTTATGTCCGCGCTTGCGGCGCTTTCTCGATCGCATTTCTTTTTCTTCTTCATCCAAACATATAGCTATCGTAGCCGATTCATTCTCAGAAAAGTCCACGACCCCTCGCTGACGGCACGGTCGCGTCACTGTTGTGTGTAAATGGACTCTTAGAGTAGAAATTCCAGCCAGGTGTTTTTAAAACTAAATGAGAATACGCCACACGGGTGACAAAAAACAAGAGCTCGAGTTCTGTTATACTGTAGTTCTACATTGCGGAATCAACCATTTTGTAAAGTTAAGAAATCATGAGTTTTTGATAGCCTAATAAAGAACTGAAAAATTAATTAAATCTACCGATCCGGCGCTTCCTTAGACTTAATACCTCCATTTATAAATGCTCCCCGTTTTCCTTAATGCACTGGAAACAGATTCTCTGTACGCACGTGTTCCTTACCGACGACGATTTAATCAGTTAAGGTTCTCGTGCCACACAAGACTGTCCCGATTAGATGGCAGGATCAAATAACCCAAATTCCGATTATTTTCTTTGCCTTTAAAATTTGTTCAGAATAAACTGCTGACCGATTAACCGGCGGTCCTGCCGGTTAATCATTGCCGATTTGCGTATGACGTAATTTTTGCGCTATTGATTTTACGCCGGTTTGCGTTGCTTTAATCTTACATCCTGTGTAGTTGCGTTAGTTAAATTATTCTAATATCGAGTTACCGGATAATTGGGGATAAAATCCGGGACAAAAGTTCTTCCCGAAAGATACTGCGACGCTTCGGGACACGCGGAATGCGTATTTTTACTCTTCTGGTGACAGAAATGCATTTAAAATTGGAAAAAGGCACTTCGTTATAAGAACATTTTCAATATTTAATAAAGTCCTCCTGTCGCCGGATGGCGGTAGGAAAAATCGGGATATCTGGGAATAGGTTTAGTAGAGTCGGTTTCGATCGATCGACGAGACGACTACGCGTTATCGCGGTAGGATCCGGGTTCGATTCCCCTTTAAAAGCTTTGGGAATTCGGTCGAGGAAGATTTTCCTTCTTACGCATTCTGGACCCTTCATTTTAGATGGAGTTTGGTTATGCCGGATTTGCTTTGCCCGTTGCGAGAAGTCTCGACGAAACTAAAAGATCAATGTACCGCGGTACATTTTATTCTGGTAATTCTGGCTTTAGGCGTTGGTTTAAACACGAATTATCAAAACCATCGCAGCGGGTCGAGTTTGTAAGTGATAACGAATAGAAATGCCGTTTGGGTATTTCTAGTGCATTCGGTGAACGAAAAGTATGTAGGGCGATTCGTGTTCGAATTCGCTATTTTACGAATCGGGTTTAGTTTTCTTATTACCCGCGCGTGCCGGTCGGCCTATAGTCTTAACTTTTAACATTTAGTGCAGTAAAATAATTATGCACAGTGACAAGGAAGACAAAAATCGGAGAAGCGCCATTGGAGGATATTAAAAATATCTGAAATTACGGCATCCATATTTTAATGATAACTTTATTAGATGTACGAAAGTCCTGTTCCCGGCGTGTGGAGATTTTTTTTTAACTCTTTCCGCCCTGTGGGCACTAAGAGGGCCTCTTTTATGCAAGCCCATTATGGGTTCGGCCAGGCCCACAATGGGGCTGCCGGGTGGTGAGGGACGGGGCCCGATATATCCGAACGGACCACCCCCGAAAAATTCCTGGGGATTTTTCGACCCGTTCGGATTCGAACCCGGGTCCCCCAGAGTGGTAGGCTGCCACCTTGACCGCTCGGCCATCCGGCCGCAATCGTGTGGGGATGTATGATGTGATACGTCACAATGAAAAGTTTTTATAATAAGCACGATATTTTTTACTTTTGTAGTAAGTTATAATTCGGATGATGATTATAACGATAATTTATCATCGTCGTTTTAATTAATGTAAAAAAAAAAGTCGGGAAGGGTTGGCAACACGATCGCTAAACCAAAATGGCGGACAAAAGGAAAGAAGTAGAGGACGACGGAGATTCGGATTCCGAAGATATTATCGGTCCTTTGCCTTCGGAAGCGGCGAAAGTGAAAAAAAGGAAAGTTTTAGAGTACGAACATGTTTATTTAGATAATTTGCCGAGTGCGGAAGCGTACGAAAAGAGTTACATGCACCGTGACATCGTGACACACGTTCTGGTTACCAAGACCAACTTCGTGATATCTGCCAGCTGCGACGGGCATTTGAAATTCTGGAAGAAAGAAGACCAGAGTATTGTCTTCGTGAAACACTTCAGAACGCACATCGGTAACATCCAGGATATCAGCACCAACGTCACCGGTACTTTACTGTGTTCTGTGTCCAACGATAAATCTCTTAAAGTGTTCGATGTTGTCAATTTCGACATGATCAACATGATAAAATTGGATTTTCGACCGCAGTGTTGTGACTGGATTCACAAGGCGGGAGATCCCGTGTCCGCCCTGGCCGTCGGCGAGGTCGACTCCGGCTCCGTTTACGTTTTCGACGGAAGAGGAGACGCTACGCCTCTCCACGTGATCGAGAAACTCCACTCTGCTCCCGTCGTGCTGATGAAGTACAATGCCGCGCAAGAGGTGGCGGTGTCCGTCGACAGGAAGGGAATCGTCGAGTACTGGACGGGTCCGAAGTACGACTACCGGTTTCCGAAAAACGTCTCTTTCGAATCCAAGCTGGACACCGATCTGTACGAGTTTGTAAAGCACAAGACGTATCCCACCGGTTTGGCGTTCTCATCGAAAGGCGACCTGTTTGCCACGGTCTCCGCCGACAGGAAGGTTCGCATTTTTCGTTTCGTCACCGGTAAACTGACCAGGGTGTACGACGAGAGTCTTCAGCAGTTGTCCGAATCGCAGCAGGCTCACCAGCAGCTTCCGAATATGGAATTCGGAAGGAGGATGGCGATCGAGCGCGATTTGGAAAAGTCCGATTCCTTTCAGTATGCGAACATCGTGTTTGATGAAAGCGGTTATTTTGTGTTGTATGCCACTATGCTCGGGATAAAAGTTATAAATTTGCATACGAACAAGTGCGTGAGACTGTTGGGAAAGAACGAAAACATTCGTCCGTTATGCTTGGCTTTTTATCAGGGTGTTCCCAATAGGTCGAAGGCGACGGTGACTTTGGATATGAAGGCCTCCGAAAATCCAGCTTTACAGAACACCAAACCTGATCCCACCCTATTCTGCACTGCCCTGAAAAAAAACAGGTTTTACATTTTTAGCCGACGGGAACCAGACGACACCAAGAGCGTCGACACAGAAAGAGATGTCTTTAACGAAAAACCGTCTAAGGAGGACATCATCTCGGCCACCGAGTCGTCCACTCAGCAGAGACTCTTCGACACTTGCATAATACACACGACCATGGGAGACATTCACTGCAAACTATTCTCCAAAGAATGTCCGAAGTCCATAGAGAATTTCTGCGTTCACAGCAAGAACGGTTATTACAACGGACACATATTTCACAGGGTAATTAAAGGTTTCATGGTACAGACCGGCGATCCGACTGGGACGGGAACGGGAGGCGAATCGATTTGGGGGGGAGAATTCGAAGACGAATTCCACCCGACCCTGAGACACGACAGGCCTTACACTCTGAGTATGGCAAATGCCGGACCGTGTACTAACGGTTCTCAGTTTTTCGTGACTGTCATTCCGACTCCCTGGCTCGACAACAAGCACACAGTTTTTGGAAGAGTGACAAAGGGGATGGAGGTTGTGCAAAACATCAGCAACGTTAAGACAAACCCCAAAACAGACAAACCGTACGACGACGTTCGCATCATTAACATCACTTTAAAATAGTTCATCTCGTACGATACCTTGTCAAACAACAAATATTTTAAATTTTGGATGCAAGAAACAAAATCGACCAAGAAACCCAGGCATGTATTAGTATGTAGCAAAGTGTGTAAAATGTTCATATATAAAATATTTTATTTACGTCAAAAATAACCAATCAGTTTTACGGGCTTTTGATAACACTTCATGAATTCTGGACAAAACATAATAAATTCCATAAATTTAATGGCATCTCGACAACGTCCAATTTTGAAATTAGGGAATCAAATTCGAGGCGTTCGATGTAATTTCTCTCGTCGCCAAATCGGCCGTTTCTGAAATAAAAATAGCCACAATCAATACCATAACACAAAAGGTATTAATCCAAAAAGAATACGTACTTGAAGTTAGAGCTTAAAATTCTTTCCATGAATGCTGCCAAGATGATAAACATGTCACGTTTGACGTTAACTTCAGGATTTAGATCTAGCAACTTATAGAATTTTATCTTCTCATCCTCGGTAATTCTCCGGCCAAATATATTACTAAATACGTCCAGTAGACGCTAGGTAAAAGCGATTTTTTTTGTTAACAAATTTCAAACTAATATTAATACTAATTTTTTTTCAAAACTAGCATTAGTGTTAATTTTCTAACTTCAAGATCTATTATTATAAATAAAACCACTGTTTCTTGTGCTAATTCATTATAAAATTATTATAATGTTAAATATAAGCTAAATCAGCGCTGTCCAACTTATCATAGTCCGCGGGCCATATTTTTTTTATCAAACATTTCGGGGGCCAAGAAGGTTGATAAACCACACGACATTTGCATAGTGCTACGGTTCAGTAAGCACAAATTGGTCAGCGAGTCCGATGTTGACGCTATAAAAAGGCGACAGTTTGACACACCGGATATATGTCACTCTCGTCTAAGTTCGACTTGGGAATTTTTTTGTTCAATAATAAATGTGAATTCTTCTTCCTGGAAAAAATAAGACATTCCCTGAAAATAAGACCTAGCGCATTTTTCAGAGCAAAAATTAACATAAGACAGTCTTATTTTCGGGAAAACACGTTAGTAAAATAATTTTAATATTAATAATAATAATTTAGTAACAAATTTATTCATAGTAAAATGTACTCAAGGGCCGTAAAAATTATTTGGCGGGCCGTATACGGCCCGCGGGCCGCCAGTTGGACAGCGCTGAGCTAAATAATAATAATAATATCTATTGGTTCATTGGCACTTATAAATGTATTTTGTTCACTTAGTATATTGGTAAAGTTTTGCAATAAGAACAATTGTATAATTACTTTCTACACAAGCTTTGAAATTAAACACATCCCTTTTTATTTATGTTTTGTCGTCTTCTTGATAAAATAACAAGTCGTGTTAAGGCATTCGGCAATACTTTATCGGGACAAATAGGAGGCGGTCACGACTTGTCAATCCTATTTGAACCTTTTGGTGGCAATCTGAGTGCTTTCTCTCAACAAGCAAGCTTATCTGAAAATCAGAATATGAAACTTTTTTCTAAGTCACTAAGAGTGTTTGAGGTGTTAACAGTTTCAATATGATTTCCAAGGTTGTGGTTTCTGCAATTGGCTGTTTTGGCCTCTCTACCGTATCCAGGTCTTACCAATATTTGCAAGTTTCTTTGGTTCTTTTGGGCAATGCTCCAGTATCTTTGTGATTTTATCTGTAGGTGATCAAATAGAAGAGAGTTCATTTATGTTTTGAAAACATCCTTTAGTGAAATGAAGTACTGTATTCAATCTTTGATACAAATTTTAAATGTTCTTGGTTCTTTTTTTTTAGCTAGAAATTTGCACTTCTTTCGTATGGTTCCATCGTATACCCTGTCGGGACAATTATTTACTATCGATGGCAGTTCTTTTTGCCTCGACATAGTAAAAGAAATTTTGTCATTCTAGACATTCTGTCAGTTCTGTATGAGCCACTTGGGTCAATCTCAACATTAGTTGTTTTGAGAACAGTGGTAGTTGTATATAAAGTACTCGACATTAACAACTGCTGGCATGTTTTTTGTTCCATTTACTGGGATATTTCTGAATTTGAGTAGAGTTAACTCTTGATCGACTCCTAATAATTTTGCGTTATGTAAATCATTTTACTGTGCACATTATCCACAGTCAAATGGAACGGCCGGATGCAATGTGGGCTTTGAGTAATCTGTTTGAAACTCCATCTTTTTGCAAGCTGGCTAAAAATGAACAAACCAAATGGCACACTGTCTGTTGTTAATTCTTCCAGAATACCAAAGCAAACAAAGGCAATTTTGTATATTTTGATTACTGATTGAGTTGTTTGTCGGGTTCATTCGACAGTTCATTCATATATAAGTGTATCACCTTGAGGTATTTTGGAAGTAGTCGGTCAAATGCAAGTAACTGTGGCTTCTACAGTCAAAGACGTCGCACTGAATATTTTTCCTCTGTCTTGTAGGTACTGGAGTGACAGTAGCTCTTTTTGTAGTGCAGATCTAAAATTAGTACATGTTGAACAACGAGACAAGTGTTTCAATATCATTAGTAATATTTGGCCAGTAAAATAAGCAGTACACTCTTGATTTAAGTTTTGCAACTCCCAAATGAGATTTGTGAAGTAACGAAAGCAATTGTGGACAGAGTAGTTAGGTATAAATAATTTTCCATTCCAATGAAAAATATCACCATGTTGTAAACTTATATCAATTGCCCAATACTTGTGGATACATCTCATTTGTGATTAAATATACCAGTGAGGGATGATCCAATCAATTCCATCACTTCACCATCATTTGAATAAGGTTTCCTTAACTCATCATCCCACGTATTGCTGATGGTGCATACTTCCCCAGTTATCATCATTATGTTCGGTATTCAGATTTTTCTGGGATAATATGCCTACTACATTTTTTTTTCCTGGCTGCCATTCAAAGATCACAACATTTTGTACTATGCTTACAAAAATACTAATTAATCTTGAAATTATTTTGTCAAAGGATTTATTTGTGATTGTGAGTAAAGATCTATGGTCTATATGAAAATCATCTGGCATGCATTCATACATTCAAAGGCTCCTTTTCAATTTATGTATACCTTTGTCTCAGCAGTACATGTGAAATATAATTACTAGTTTGCCATTTGCAAAAAACATCCACTTGTATTGTTATTGGGCCAGAGTATCAAAATTGGCTAGATTGTAACATAGTAGATTGCTTCTTTCGATATGCCAAATTTGCATCAGTGAGATCAAATGGACATGGAATGAATACTATATTAAGTGCTCTTGGTGGGATCGTTAAGTCAGCCAGTTTAGAGGTATATGGCATTAAGAATTATTCATGTCCAAGATACATCAGAGATCTTTCCTTACTTCTGTTATTAATCTACCTAAGTATTTTGGATTGGCAGTTACTGTATCTTATTTGCATAGAGCCATATATTGGTTCTGAAAAGAATCTGCCACTAACAATGCAGGTTCTGTTCAAAACCAAGGTTAGATTTCTTTGCATATTTTCAAATTTCGTCTCCTGTTAAAAAGTCATCCACAGAAATTCATATAACTGAAATGTTAGCAAATAAACACGAGCATTTGTTTTCTGAAAAATCTCTGGAGAAACAAGAAAGCAGTGATCATATCTAGCGATTTCTAGCCACACAGGCAACTGCAATTGCAATGAGTGCATCTTGTGGTCACATTGTTGATGTTGCATCTTGATTTATTATAAGGTCACATGTTTCCAACCTCTATTTCACCTGTTTTCATCATCATTTTTTTTTTATGTGAAGGAATGACATTCACAAAGGATGGTAGTTCTTTAGCTGTATTTAAAACTAGCAGACCCTGCCACTCATTATGGCTCAAAATGTATCTATTATAAATGTATAACACTTCCCCCATGGGGGAATTTTTCAAAAAATTCCTTCTTAGTGTACATTCTCTTGACGTACCCTATCAAAACACAATCAAAAATGCAAAAAACTGCATCTAAAATAGTATAATAGAAGCAGAGTTCTTTATGGTAAGCCTTAATCCTAACCATCTCCCCCCAGTGGGGGGAATTTCGACATGTATCTAAATATATAAAATTGCTTGTCCTGACTGACTGAATGACTCACTGATTCATCATTGCCCAGAGCAAACTGCTTAACCTAAAGAGGTGAAATTTGGTAGACAGTTAGGGTACGTCATGGAAACGTACACTAAGAAGGGATTTTTCAAAATTCCCCCGCAGGGGGATTAAGGCTTAACCAGAAGAATGGCTTCTACTGTTCTATTTTAGATGTGATTTTTTCTTTTTATATGCGTCTTAGTAGGGTATGCCATGGGAATTCACACTAAGAAGAGATTTTTCTAAATTCCCCGTGGGGGAGAGGGAGAGGATTAAGGCTTAACTGGAAGAACAGCTTCTACTGTACTATTTTAAATGCGATTTTTCGTTTTCAACTACGTTTAATTATCATTGAGTACTTAGATGTATTAAATTGATAACATTTCAGACATTGTTATAAATATTTTTTATCTATTTCGATTTTAAAAATGTTCAAACCGTTTTAAATTCAAATTTGTTATTGCGTATTGGTTTGATTATAGAACAATTGTAAACGTTCCAGAAAATTGATCAAATTGAAAATAGTTTGTTTGATTCTCAGCAATTCTCTTCAGTGGTAGGTGTTATATAACAATTACTATGGTTATTGAAATATTGAATGTAAATGGGGTTTGCTTGCAAAACCTCCACAGATGAAGTCGCGGGTAACAGCTAGTATTATATAAAAACACATGCGTATTCGAATACAATGTAGTGTCAAAATTTCAAAAAAATCGGTAGGAACAAACAAACATTACATTTTTATATAGATAGATAGATGATGATCTGCTTTAGTTCATCTTCACAGAAAAGCAAACTTAGATCGTCGTACTCGTAGCGCCATCTGTTAGACATAAAAGCCTTAACCTAGATGATATCTTTTAATTTATATGAATGTTTACCGGAATAATATAAAGCCTATGTCCACCCTGAAGTTCCATTCTAAATATTGGTGAAAGAATTTTTGAAATCGGATGAGTAGTTTCGGAGATTACCCCCTGCATCCAAACTTACAAACATTACCTCTCTATAATATTAGTATAGATAATATTGTCATTACTAAAAACAATTGACATTTTATATCAAAAAATCTAAAAATGGTACAATTAATGCTGAGACTTTTGCTTATCTCGTGCTCTTTTATCTTTTCTCGCATAAATGAAGAATTAAATGCCACAGGCTGATTCACAGAACTGATTCAGGCTTTCATGAGCCTGAATCAGTTCAATCAATCTTGATTCTAAAGCTGTACCAGTATTTTCACTTTCTGCCATTATGATAACTATTTTCAAAGTTTCCAATGTGGCACAAAGGCATTTGCTGATTCAATGTGCATTTGCAATTGCTGCAAATAGAACAAACTTTTTGTTTCTAGTTGCAGTCGCACAATGTTTGAGGGGGTTTACTAGTTATAGGGAAGTCATTGTGGCTGCAGTTGCCTGTGCAGCTGTCAACTGCACTTA